GGAGGGAGGAGCCTTGATGGATGGAACGGAATTGGCTCCCGAGATTCCCCTTTCCATTCGATAAGGATGGACATCGCCGACACTTTGGGTCTCTTCCAATTCCCTCGACGAGAGGGAAGGGTGCCCGAAGACGGAAGGGCGGTTTTCCCCCTTCGCACCCGAGGCGTCGACTCTCTCTCGTGCCGGAGATTCCGTTCGTGCGAGCGAGAACTTTTCTTCCTCTCCAGATGCCCGAGACGCGGAAACCGGAGACTCGAGAAAGGAGAAGGGAGGGGAGATGCGGGGGAAGGAGAAGGCGTTTATCTTGTCCTGTCACCGGGGCCAACTCCCTGCTCCGAAATTCTATCTCCTTGACGAGAGCCAAGCCCGTACATGACACACTGCCCTGACTTATGTGACACCTCCATCTGCTCATAAACGAGAGGAGACCGTCAAAAAAAAATTCCGGAGAGAAAAATCTTCCGTTGTCGACGCGATGCAGTTAGAATAGCTGAAAACCGACGGAGTCACTCCCCCCCCCCCCCCCCCCCCCCCCATTCCCCCCCCCTACCGCTGCCACGCGCGGACGATGCGAGGCGTGTCAGTCGCTTCTGGCGTCGCAGTCCGAGAGGGTCGACCCCGGTCGACCCTCTCGGGCTCTCATCGCCCGAGGCCCGTCCCGTGTGAGGCGGGAACCCCGGGTAACACTGGCGTGCTCTCGAAGCAGCTCCTGGTTTTCTTTTGGTTTTAGAGTGGAGATTTTCCTCGATGAGCTCGTTATCTTGTTCGCCTTCTGATCCCATTTCAGTATCGTACATGTATATGAGATGCGATCGCAACGTGCGATTTCTCATTCGATTTCTCGCCGGTGAGTCATCGCGTTCCGAATGGGTTGGGCTGTCCATCTCGAGTCATCGAGTCTTTTTGAGCATTAAGGAGTCCACGTTGCAAAAGGAGCGGCGCCGAGCGAATGACGAAGTACGGAACTTTTCCCGTGCAGCCACGTGCGTGTTCGTTCGGGAATCGACGTTTTCTCTTGCCGATGGCTCGTCGAACGGCCGTTCGGAGAAGTGAAACTCTTTCTCGAAGTTCTGTCGAACGCGAGTCCCGTTCTCGGCTCCGTCGCGAGCGAATGCGCGAGTCCTGCACGAAGAAGTCGCGGGACTGGACCCGCATGGATCTCTTCGTTTTCCGAGGACGGAGCGGTCGCCGTCTCGAGTCGATCGAAGTGTCGTGCAGTTAGACGAGGGCATATCGTCTCGGGTGGGGGTCATCCACTCGTTCCGTGGCATAAAATTTTCGTTCTGCTTTGAACCTCCAGATTTTTAATGGCGTGCGGGTCCGGATTCTCGGCGGACCGATCGGCTTGTGGTGTCACGTACGCGGCTGGAAACAGAATACCAGAAATGGGGGAAATCCTTTTTCGCAGGGTTACTGACATCCGAATGTATTCGCGGTCATGAACGGCTTTTAAGTCGATGGCTCGGCGAGCGAACGGGTCGGTCACGACGAAGCGTTCTGATTTATGCCCAAGTTCTTCGAATTTATATGAAATAGATCGTGCGTTGATTACGAGCGATCGTGAGATCTTCTGGGAACTCCTAATTTTCCTTTCTGATTTGCATATTTTTCCCGCTCTCAAGCTGTGGATGCGATTCCTTGCTTATACGCGAAACGGACGTGTTTCGTGAATCTCCTTCAGCGTAGGGAAAGAGAAATCTCATGTGAACCCGAGATGTCGTATCGATTATCAATCAATATCATTACAGACATAGAACATGAACAAAATACCCGGGAATTTTTCATAAGAATCAAAGCCTCACGTTTCGCTGCTTCGTGTCACTGGAACGAGAAATCACAGTATCACAGTAGTAGTCTGCTCCAGGACCGTCCCATCGGCATCGGGTACAAATTCTCTCATCCTTGTCCAATGTATCGAAGGCATTCCAGGAGCGTCGAAAGAGAACAGGGAGAGTCAGGAAAGTTACAACAATGAGGCTATCGAAGCCGTCGGCATGCGTTTCGTTGGATATCTGATATTGTGCGAATCGGGCATTATTTATACTGTGCCGTCGAAAAAAAAGGGACACGGACAAACTTTGGCATTTGAGGGCTGGCGAGGTCGGGTTCCCTCCCGTAAAAATACGCAATGGCTCCTTCCACAATTCCTTCATTTCCTCATGGGTGCAGGCAACCGTGGTGAGGGTGAATCCTCTGTACCTGATGCTGCCATCGACCGTGGCCTGCTCGTATGCCTTCATGCTCCCAGTGGCAACGCCTCCCAACGCGATCGTCTTCGAGGCCACGCAGATGAAGACCTCCAGCATGGTACGCCGGGGCCATTTACCTCCTTCCTTCTCCTCTTTTCTCGATTTCTCTCGTCTCTCCGGGCAGATCAAGGCGGGGTTCGCCATGAACGTCATCTGCGTCACGGTCATCTTCGTCATGATCAACACGTTGGGGGATTTTCTCTTCGACTTCTCCAAGTTCCCCGACTGGGCGGAAATGTCGGGGAATTCCAGCAAGGCTTCTTCCTCGTCCCACTGCAACTACACTCTATAGCATCTCCTCGTTCGTCCGTGACCATTTACCTCTTCCCTTTTCTCGAGTGCCTCGTGCATTTTCCAAGGACTCCGAAACTGCAACGGACGTCGACTGCGAGGCAGAAACCTGAGCCGGGGAATCACGGGCGGGACGTCATGCCCACTGAGTTTCTGTCTTTTCTGGTCGGGAAGACAGGCAATACAAAGTGATTATTGTATTTTTTGCTTTTTTGAAAATGCAGATGATATTGTGAAAACTGCGAAGCGTTTCAGTCTTGATACCGAACCATGTTTGCCTCGATAAATCCATCCAGGAACTGGTGGAACAAAATGTCTCGCGTTCCTTCGTCTTTGATGAAGCAGACCGAGAAAGTTCTCGGATTAAGTTCACATTCGGAACTTCTTACACAAGCCAATCAATATTCATTCGTGCAAAGATAGGAGAATAAGCGATCCTACGTCGCAAACCTTGTTCGTTTTGGTGTTTACAGGTGGGAGAAATTCCATTATGAATAACGGATGTTTCTCGATTCCGATGAATGCTCGGAAAACGCAAATATTCAAATAGATCGATTAGCATTTATATACGTAATCTACTAGCATCTTGGATGTATTATTAATATTCACGCAGGGAAATTTCATATCAGACACCAATTACCATTCGAATAGAGAAACTAATTGCTACTCTGAAGTGACATCATTTGAGTTAGGCCCAAGAAAGTAAATTGCAGGAAACGTACATTTACCATAAATAATTTAATTTAGCTCAATTTGACTCGGAGAAATCGAGAATATGAATTTACCCCCTTCGCTCCTGAAAATATTAAATGTGACCCAAAAGTGAAACGATGTGAATGCAGAGGTTTGGCAGCGAATGGCTTCGAACAGTGGAGCCGTACCAGTGCAAGGCGAAGACAGCTATGCCAGAGTCCTAGCCGAGGGAAAGAATGGGAAAATGGAGCCAAATCTGGACTCCATTTCGCTCCATGGAAGGAGAGGGAAAAAATGAGAATAGGAGGGAGGAAAGCAAGAGTAAAAATAAAAAGAAAGCAGATGCTTCTATTGCATATTCGTTCACTCAACCTGGCGTCTTATCTAATCGCATAGTAACCTTTTCGCTGTAGAACCGGTATTCACGCGAGCGAAGGATGGGGGTCACAAGTTTCAATCAACCCATGTTGATTATATTTATACAAGGTGTTCCATTTATCTTGAGACAATGTGAATGTTGATTTAAAGGAAAACTGTGTAAATAATAATTTCAATTTTCATTTCAGATTGAAGATAAAATACTGCTAAGTTGTCGACCATGGATTGGGACACTGTACAGGATAGTGGAACATTATTTTGAAAGTCACTCACTAGTGACGGCACAGAGAACTTCAAACGCGAGACTCTCCCAGTATATGCACTATTCTGCAGTACGTTGCTGAATTTAGGGAAGGAGGACCTGTGACTGATAAGCACAACCGCACACCATCAGTGCGAACAATGGAGACAGTAGTCGTCATAAGCTCAGCGATTCAGCAAAGCCCAAAGAAATCCATCCGCCCCATGTCGAGCCAGACAGGCGCGAGTGCAACAAAAGCACAATCTGAACAACGAACAAGTTTAGATCTTTGTGGAGTAAGAGGCGAACAACCGTTCACCACCATACTGCAGAATAGTGGATATACTGGGAGAGTCTCGCGTTTGAAATTTTCTTCTGAAAGTTCTCTGAGCAGTCACTAGTGAGTGCCTTTCAAAATAATGTTCCACTATCCTGTACAGTGTCCCAAGCTCCAGGAGTCCATGGTCAACAACTTAACAGTATTTTATCTTCAACCTGAAATGAAATTATTTACATTTTTCCTTTAAATCAACATTCTCATGGTCTCAAGATAAATGGAACAGCCTGTATAAATATAATCAACATGGGTTGATCGAAACTTGTGACGCCCATCCTTTGCTCGAGTCAATACTGGTTCTACAGTGAAAAGTTTACTATGCGATTAGATAAGACGCCAAGTTGAGTGAGCGAAAGTGTATCACCCGCCGTACTTGCCCAACTGACTGATTCAAATCGAATCACGCGACGCTGTACCGGAGGTCACCTGTCAATTCGCTTCTGATAAGTGGATCTCTGCATCATGATTGCGATGCCAAAACGGCTGGACAAGGCCCTCCGCGACTTCGACGTCATCCTCATGCGTTTTACGACTGCTGGTAGCGACATGAAGGCCGTGATCCGCTCTACAATTCCGAGGAGACCGGAGAAGGGGCTCCGGTCTCCTCGAGAATAGATAACCCAAAGTCCCTAGTAAAAAGAAGTCTAGAAAGATGTATTTCGATAAAGGTGGGTTCTCGTTGTTGGAGGCAGCTGTATGCCTGCATATTATTCTAACCATGATTTTAAAAAAGGTCCTGCACGTAATGGTGGACAACAATCAAGCATATAATGTGGTTGCAAGTCAGTCCAAATCGAAAAACATGTCAGTACAAAATTTTTATTCTGGTACTTTTTTCATGTTTGCGAGGCAAACTAATTGATCACTCAAGAGAGAGATGAGATTCCCCAAAGTATACAGATGAGAGGTGAATAACAGGGACTCTACTGCAGTAGCCTCCCACTTGGATGGGTCGAACTGAGACACAGTTCCAAGTCTTGTCCGATTGCATCAAGAGAGCTTCGTAAAGCCCTTTGATATCAGTATCCCAACATATATTATGGAATTTCACGTAGAGGTAGGCTGTAGGGATGGAAAAGATGAAAGACCATCAGTATTTTTCAAAAGAATACAACTGGAACATTGCTGAACATATAGGATGAGAGGAATCATTATTATATAACAAAATTCGAAATGCATTTTCAAATGTTTCAAAACTTTCTAATTGCTCTTACGCTTATCCAGCTCAAATTTATTGAGTTAAGAATTTATTCAGGGGTGCAATGAGTACTTGTGGATTGAAAACTTACCACCCGTGATACCTCAAGGAGTTCTATCACAAGTGCGGTTGGGGAGGAAGAACGCCTCGGTCTCTAAAATAGACGACAAGGGTGGAATTTTGACACTGAAGGCCTGGCTTATTTTTGCATGCAAATTCGAAGAGACGTACCCATCCAACATGGACGACGAGGATGAGGGAATTCGAACGTCCATGCTTCCAAGCTGAATTCCACTCACCTGAGAAGGAGAAAATGAATGAGCATAATGCAAGTACATCTTTTATGGTTTGGTCAGATTCATTTCTTTGCTGGTTTCAAGATGAATTTGCAAAGGAGTGGGGGAGCAAGAAGCATTAGCAATGGTAACAATAATCTTGGGTGTCTTCCAAGTCCAACTCTTGGCTTCACGAAAGAGAATCTCTCAAAGGTTGAGTGAATAATGGGGAAGGAATACGTTATCTCTACGAGAACAGCAGTTTCCAGATGAAAAATGGTCATGAATGGTTTGATGACCTCAATATAGCTATCAAATCAGTAATGAATTCCAGAAAACTGATAAGGCAACAACTGAAGAACCAGATGCTTTCATTTCCGACCAAAATACCTTTCAGCAGTGCAAAAATGCCTTTCTTAAGAGAGCCTTCCCTCCTGCAAATGCTCCTGTAAATTTAAAATTCATATTTGCAGTAAAAATTAAGTTTTTGGTAAAAATCTGTCCAAAAACGAAGATAGCCCATGTCTTGTCTGTTTTCACCTGTACACCAATTATTGCAGTGATGATCAATATTTTTTACTTATTGCCAGACGATCAAAGTGTAAGACACGCGGACAGGACAGATTATAAGTAGGGCTGGCACGATAGTAGTTTTCAAAACATCGATGCATCGACCTAAACTATCGACAGTGTATCGATGCATTGCAGGTGGGGGTGCTTCTCTCGCCTCGATCGGAGCGCGGACTTTCATCTTTCTTCCATAGTCTCACTTGTGATCGGGGGTGTGGAAGGAAGGTGTGACATTCGCAACGAGTAATGAAACATACCATGCCTCCAAATATCGAGGATGATATCCATTCATCGATGGATGCCTCAGGACAGCCCTAATTTTTTCTTATTGCCGTTGAGAATTAGTTGCCGAGCCCGTTCATGTAAATTTTTTCCCTCATTTTCTTCGTCTTACACGGTCTTCTTTAGACACGGCACCGGCATATAGCAAACCTGCCGATGGTGCCATACCGGCGGTTGCCGAAACATATAGAGGGGAAAGTACTACCAATGTACGTTTCGAAATCAAGGGAGCATAAGAACAGTCCACTTTGACAGCATGCACCTCATGAGATCGAGCCGAAGACTGAAACAGAAGTGAAAAAAATATTCTCGGTCTTCCCTCCCTCTCCTTTCCCACTTCCTGTCTCCGATCCAACATGAATTTTTTTTTTCCTTCCTGTCTTTCAGTCAGTCCAGCATTTCCAGAATTTGATCGTGATAAGAAATTGCAAGCCCATGCGGGTCATGCCGCCTCTTTCTTTCCCCACACATATGGACTGTATTGTACAGTACTCGCCTCAATCCAATGGGACATTTCCACTTTAAAATCTTTTTCGATACATCGCGATGGACGAAAAAACTATCAATAACTCCAACCATCGATAGTGGTATCGATGCATCGATCTATTGTGACAGCCCTAATTATAAGTAGTCTCTTTCCTTTCAGGAAAATAAGCCTGCTAAAAAGACAGAGGCAGAGAAAGCATTTGAGTTCTGTGAATCTAACTCACCAAATGAGATGAAGAGGAAGATTTAGATTTGCTGGCCTTGGCAGAACTGGACTTTTTCTTGGGCTCCTTCCTGGGTGGCTGGGAAGATGAAGTGCCTGAATTCCCTTTCTTCCCTCCTCCTTCACTATTGCCCTTCTTTCTGTGTCACAGTGCAAGAGGGAGAGATATAAAGGTGATAGAAACAAAGGAAGTGAGACAGTGAGATGGATTGCTCATCCAAAATAGAAAACCTCTTCTGAGGGGGAGGATGACGGCGTTCGTCATCATCGGAGGACTCTGTCTCCTCGCCGGCATCACTGCTGGTCCCTGGGTCGGGCTTCTCGTAGTTCAGCAGCCGATCGAGAAGGAAGCTCTTGTCTCGAGTCACCTTCAGCAGACGATGCTCTGCCCTCAGCAGTTCCTCTTTCAATCCTTCATTTTCCTATATTAGGAAACCTCAAGATTTACTATTGCATGAGCTATCTCAAACACACAAAATAAGAAAAGATGAAGATTGGATATGAATCATGTCTGGTTGGCTAAAACCCAGTATCAGTCTCAATGAATCACCGAGCTTTCGTCCCAACCATTTCCTGACTATTCAAGCATATAAGGCATTGAATAAACAAGGATTTCTCTAGCACAAGGGAGTAAGGGAGGCTCCAAATCCTCAAGGTTCCACCACCTGCAAATATCCTCCCAGTGTGCAAATCGCAGATGGGGCAGAGATAAGACAAAACTCACATAGATGAGCTGCTTGAGTCGCTTTTTCATCTCCTTATACTTTTTCTTGTAGTCTAAGGAATCTCCCATTGTCTCCACAAGTACCGATTCAAGGTAACGTTTATCTACTTGAAAAAAAAAACATAATTGATCAATGAGGCGCTTAATGGTTGGAATATTTAGTAATAATCAATCCTTGACTGTTAGGGTTACCAGGCAATTGAATCATCAAATTTTAGTGTCATTAGTTTCACCTTCAATGAAAATTGGCTAAGGTAAATATCTATAAATGAATTGACACAATGAGTCCTTTATGCAACCTGTCATAAGCATACAATCTCATGGACACAATCTTCAGTTCGATTTAGGAGTGCTGTTGGCTAAAATTTGTTACTCTGCCTGCTACTTTAGGATGTTAAACTGGTCCAAATTGATTAAAATCTGGGGAGAAGATAAAATTCAGAAGAAGCAAAGGAAACAAGTGCAACTAGCAAACTGGTTATCTGATTAAAATATTGCCATTTTGGAATGAAATGAGAAAGGCTTTATGGATAAAACTGTCTCACCAGGATGCTGACACCTCAAGGGAACTACTAGTGGAAGCAACATTTGTCCCTGAGAATAGAGGATGTAATAGATGCAAGATTATGGGTAAACATTTAGTCACCTGATTTCTTAAAATTGGTAATAAAACACTTTCAACATCCTAATCAATAGACTGACTCAAATTTGGGTCAAAACTGAGTCAAACTTTCTTTTGGGTAGGGAAACCAGTCTAGAATATTCATCACAGACTGGAAAGAATTTGTTCCATGAAACTGCTGATATTCAATTAATATCATCATAATACCTAGACTGCAATCATAACTTCAACTAATCTCTTATAATTGAGTTGGAAGGCTTAAAATCGAGAAATTAAAAACATGGTTGCAGATAGAATTTAAAAAATAAGGGTACGCATAAAAGATACTAACTAGAAAGAAGATTGAGAGATATGGGAAGGGATGGAAGGATGAGGATAGGTACAACTTTTTGCAACCAGGAACTGCAATTCCTCCAAAGCATACCTTTCTCAGATCCCTGAGAAGGCCTGCCTGACAAAAATGGAATGGTCAAGAATAAAAATAGATACAACCCTGAATGCCAGCTCTCTTTTATTATGCTCCCTCATGATTTCTGGCCAAATCCAAGGCCTTTCATTCATGTCTCACTTCAGGAAATGCCCAATCGTTCAGTTCGGCACCATGGATCAATAAGATGGAAGCCAAATGAGGACTGATAAAGATGTAAAAAAAATTCAACATTCAACCACGAAAAACATACAAAAAATGAGAAAAGAAACTGAAGAAAAAAAGAAATGAGGAGGCAAAATGATGAAGATGACATCACAGTGTGAGTGAGGAAAGATATTTCAGTTTCTTTTGAAGAACCGTCCTGATTTCTTTGAAGGAGGTGTCATAGCTGTTGAGGATTTTGGAGAGGACGGCCTGTGTGGCACCGGAAGGCTTGCGATTGTCTGTAATTAAGCTGACATCAGCCAGGAATTCAGAGAGATCCCGAGCCAGGACCTCCCCTTCTACCTTTCCCACACATTCCAATAACCTTTCCACTTCAACCTTCACATTTTTTACATGACTTTCCACCTCGCCAAACACCGGTGGCTGCATAGGAAAAAAGTGAACACAGACAGGAAGAGTGATATGCAAGATCCATCAACCCTTAGAAAATATGAGTATGAGGGAAGAAAACTCACAAGACAGAGCTCTTTCTTCCGTTTCTTGCTTCTCTTTACTAGGGAAGTCTTGTAAGGTTTTAGCAGATGAATGAGAACATCACAGAGCACAATCACAACTGACAAAACCTGGAAGCAGGAAGATATAGCCATTATCTTATTCCTCATCCTGTCAGTGGAGTGAGAAAGATGACATACCTCACAGAGGTCTACGAGTTCCTCGACTGCTCGTTGTCGGAAGACCAGTGACTCGAGGAACTGTGGATCCCCAAGACGGTCATTGACCCATGTGATGCTGTTTGCAAGCCTCATGCACAAGTCTCTGCATGGGTCAAGCTGCAAGTGCTGGGAATTCCTCTCTCCACCCCCTTCACTATCAGGCGAGGAAGCAGCAAAGACGTGATTGTGGATGCACAGGACACAATCAATAGCATCCACAATGGAGAGGATGAGGTCAGGTCGATCGGCAAAGACGCACAGACGTGGACGGAATCCCCCAATTAACACCGGTACCATCTGCATTCAGTACCCACAATTTCTTAATTGACAAGGTTCATAAACCAGATAAACAACCACAAACTAGAGAACAAACAAAGCATGCACATGCTGTATAATGCAACAACTACAAGATACTTGCTACTTACTTGATTGAGATCCTGAGTCTTGAGGCCATCCATGAAGGTCTTCAAGGATGCAGCAAGGCGCTGAAGAATCTGGTGTCGAGGGACTTGAACTTGAGAGGATCCCTCCTCTAGCATCTGGTAGGCTGCAAGAACACATCTCAGGGTGATGCTTCGAAGCTTGATCAAATCCATTTCCCAGCGATAGCTATCTTCCTGCCATGTTTCTTGTCCATCTCTGTGAGAGAAGAGAAGGATCTATTAAATGCAAGGAGAAAGATATATATAAAGATGAGAAGAATGAAGGCCTACTTGTGAGATGAATCCCAAGCGAGCATTGTAGAAAAGTCCCGATTATCCCAGAGATCCTCTGCACATGCACTCTCATCCTCAGGGTCCATCTCCAATGTATGACACAGCTGTTAAAGAAAAACAAGCATATCCAGACACATAAATGAGCTGATCCACAAACACAATGAGGAAATCATCATACAGTACCTGAGCTGTGGATGCATGGCTCTCAGATTCTAAGAGGAGGTCAAGCATCATGTTTTCCAAGACAACCAAGGCAAAGGTGTGGGAGTCCCGGACACGCTCTCGGAATCGCATGAATTCCTGGATCTTGTGGAATGACCCAAACTTGTAAGCAGAGATCAAATACTCCAGGCTCTGCAACAAAAAAAAACATAGACATCATCAATAAGATGATGAAATCTAAAGACTCATGGCAACAGGAATTCAAATGGGAACAAATGGTTACATCATGATTATGGGCTGTGAAAAACTTCAGAACAGAGGAGAAGACAGATACAGCCGAGGAAAAATGGCCTTGGGCTGCAACATGGCGTGTCAACAGGTGACTCACAGTATCCCACATGATATGCTTCACATCCAATCCTTCAAACCACTTTAAAGTACCCTCCATAGCACCTAGAGTATCATAAATTTTCTTCAATATCAGAAGGAAGTGAGGGATCTGGGTATGAGTGCAGGACTCACCTAGAAGATTGTAGACCTGACATAGGAGAAGTTTGTACTGATAGTTGGCAGGGGAATCCATGACTTCAGTTTCTAGGAGGATGAGCACCCTGATGAGGTGGCGTTCATCTCCTGTCTTCTTCCATGCATCAACAAGCATGTGGCATGCAAGGAGGATGTAATAGTCATTACATCGAAAGTCAGTGGGCAGGAGACCTTGGTTGAGATTTTGTGTCTTCTTCTGGAATCCGATGAGATACCTAACGAGTTCTTCCAGTTCTTCTGCTGATGAATCTTCATACATTCCAAGTCGACGCTTCAGCATCACCTCATTCTGGTGTCGAAAAGTATCCCTGATCTAAAAAGGAAAACTTTCTTCAGATGGAGGCTCAAAATGAAAGAGGAGAGACAAAGAAAATCAACTGACGGTGAGAGAAGCATCATGTTGCTCCAAGCACAAAGTGACTTCCCCCAGGAAGCGAGAAACATCTTCCTTGTCCAAAAGGTCTACGTATGACTGTAGGTCACTGTAGAGACATGGCTTATCTCCAAAATTCCTCACATAATTGATGAGCAGATCAAGTGGTGAATCTGTATAAGAAGAATCTTCACAATAGGTCTCTCTTCAAGAAAAGCAGGATCAAAAAAATATTGACTTGCCAAGTCGGCCGAGGGCATCAAAATCCTTGCGAGCCTTGAGTTGACGGTAGAACTCAATGCGAGCCAGGTAGGGAGCCCGACAATTAGGCATGTTTTCTTGGATGCATTTTGCAAGGACATCATTAAGGAAAGTGAAGGCATCAGAAGGATTGCTATCAAACATGGCGGCTGGCCCCATCCTTCCAAGTCCAGCATTCATGTTATTATTATTACTATTGGCATTCCACTCACACTCATTTTGATGGTGGTTCACATCATTCACTCCAACATTCCCATTACCATTCACCATATCCATGACAAGAAACAAGGAACTGAAGTATCCTTCATAAAAGGACCATTGATGTGGACTAGAAAGGAAAAATCCAAATGATGGTAAGCATTCAACACTTTGATCAGAAACAGTAGTCTTGAGAAAACCATACACTTACTTTTCCTTGATGAGAACTTTGTAGAAACAGTTGAGATCTTGCCACATGTTGAGCTTCTTGAGGAGTTCCAGTCGCCTGAGTCGAACAACTTGTGACTGAGATGTGATCTTGTCTGCAAGAGGACTGCACAGCACTTCCAATGCCTCCTTGTATTTCCCCTTTAATATAGATGTAAATCACAGGAGAGGATATAAAACCACAGCAACAGAATATGAGAGAAGCGAAAGACAAAGGGCAAGGGTTAGGATGATGAAACTATGCACTGTTGTATGCAGGGATGCACTGATGCAGATACAACCAAAACCAATACTGGTTCTAATGCCTAAATATCATTCAATGCATGTCTGATAAAGATACCTCTTTCAATGGATTCATTAGAGGAATGAAGGGACTTGGGGGATGTACACATGATATTGTCCAAGAGTTGCAAATGATGACAGAAGTGTTTTTCTTATTAAACCCTTCACCAATATACTGACATCCAGCTAAGTACATAGGGGAATTCTTGTGGAACCATGGAGCTGGGTATTATTTTTTTTATCAAAGAATGATTTTTTGTTGCTCATGAATGCAAATGACACTGAATTTTTAAAGTAAACGGATCAATAAAATCAGTCTATTACCTCATTTACAGGAATAGACTAATGCAAATCAAAGATCCTGAAAATTCAACATCACTAATTTAGGTATGGCATTAAGAACATTAATATTATCATTTCAATCATGTAAAAAAAAGACCTCCTTAAGCCAGATGTGAACATCACAATGTAAGATAAACTATGCTCACAAAGAAAATCAATCAATATTTTTCCCATCCCCCAATGTAGTCCAGTTTCTGAAAATGAGTTCTTGACCAAAATGGTGGAGGTGCCTGTCCCTCCCAAAAATGAATGAAAACGATCAGCACCTTAGCATCAGTCAATGGTCAATATGGTCTTTGATAACTGTTTCAGGGGATCCCAAGCCCTGTGATAGTTGAGGGACACCTTAGTAAATACACTGTTCCAAGGAAATGAAAGGTTCAGACCTGAAGTTCAAGTATGATGAGATACATTTCAACCTCTGCCTCAGCCTCAATCCGACCATCCTGAATGAATTTCTCCACCATGCGCTCCGCCAATGGAAGACTCACAGTCTGAGCCAACTTGCTATCATCACTACTGAAAGCCTACATGATCATCAAGATTCATACACTAATTTTTTATAAGACATAACTTCTGATATGCTCAGCATGACATTTCTTTTAATCATACCCAGGCTGGACAATATTCAATTTTGACTACAGAAAAAAAACTTTAATTTTCATATAGTTATACTTGTTAGCAGAATAACTTTCCATGTTCATTAAACCAGCATTCAAAGTGATTGTCTACATTTAAAATTAGAAACCACAAAAGAATATGTTTTGTCCCTAGACTATTAAGGGCTAAATACATTATGAAGCAAAAGTGAGGTCCAGGGTCCTCAAGTCTGTAATGTCTGAATTGTTCAACTTAATTTTTCCATTTTCTCCAAAATTCATCATGAAGCAATTATTGACTGAGATAAATAAAATAAAAAACCTTAACATATCAGCAAGCATGACACATGGAAGCAAATAATCTCCCATGATAGAAAAATAATTAAATCATTCAACACCAACTATCAGGCCCTGGCCACTACTCTTTACTTTAATTCACCTATATATTGTATATTGATTGAATGAAATACATATTAATATTGCATCTGAATGTGGTGCAAATAGCTCCCCAGGACTAAAAACTACTACCCAGAAACATTACATATCCTGCAAAATGCTTCAAAATCACTCTAGAATGATAGCAACTGATTGATGATAGCAGTACTTACCTGCATAACGATGCTCATAACAGCCCAAAAATAATATGGGTTTTTAGACTTCAACTTGTAAAGGTTCATGGCAACCTGCTGCTGTTTCTTGAAATTCCCAGTTCTCACATAGGACATGAAGAGATGTGACAGGAACTCCTCATTTGTTGGATCCTTCTTCACTGCCACCTCATATATCTCACAGATTTGCTGAACTGGAAGAAAAGTACAATATATATATTTCTCCAATCATTTCAACCAACCTACCATATGATCACACCTGTCTTATGCAATTGACATGAAAAGGTTAGACCTTTACCACTCAGATAATAGCACTAGCCAATAAATTACATGAATAATAAGCAAACTTTAGTCTTCCAGTACTGTGAGCTGGTGTATATGAATTGAGGACAGGCTATGGGGAGAGGCTCTCCATGCATGCACTCTGGCATAGTTCAGGTGAAGATATGTGGTCAAGGTAAGTGCAGAGTATGCACTCAAACCTGGGGGTCACTAAACCCCCAGGTTTGAGGAGGCACAGGGGTGGGAAAAATGCAGTCTGCATTTCATTGTTGTAGGAAAACTCAACTCAAATTGTAGGCAGCAGGACATGTTGCACAGAGATGTTGGTAAAAATCCTATTTATTCTTACTGTCTATTTCATGCTTCTGTTTACTTGTAGAGCCCATAGGCTAAAAAGTTTGGCTGCTACAAAAGTTTGGCCAAAGGTTTGACCTAGCAGGCTCTTAGTTAATGAGGGAGTTGGAAAACAAAACACAGGGATCTAATTCATCTGGCCATTAAGCAAAAGCAGCCTTGGGATTGGCAGAAGAATGTAAATTGAAACTTTCTTTATCAAGGTCACCATCAGACAACAGCATTTGGAGGTCATTTCTCACTACTGAGGAATCAACCTCACCTCTGCAGACTTGCTGGTGACAGATTTATTGTTCCTATGGTCCAGAGTTTCAGTGCTGCTATGAATGAACTTTTTTAACCCTTTGACCAACAAGTTTCACAGGCACCTGTATTTGGGGGCCCAAAAAACTTACAGGCATGCCAGTAAAAGGGTTAATGCCCATTCTTTCAATTAATTAATTCCATTTCTTTGTTGATAGATGGATCTAAGCCCACTCATCTACTACATGGACACTACATAACACCTGGAAATGATACATTACATCGTAATGCTAATGTTATATCATGTTCTATGCCTGCTGAGGACCAGGCCTACAGTGCTTATTGGATGAATTTACCCACCCTGCAGTAGGCAGTGGCACTGTTGGGTATGAGAAAAGAACGACATCTGTTTTCCATCCCGTGAACAGTTAACATATTCACATTTGCAATCACAGCCAGTTACCCAACCACCATAGACTAGAATGATACTGAAGGATATTCACAAAATTTGCAAACAAGAATCCAGTTGATGCCTATGTCAAGTAAAATGTAGAAATGCAAGAAATTTCAAGAGGGTAGAATGTTGATGATGAGAAAGTCGAAAATGCTTTTTATTGGACACAGTACCCAGAGCACAGTTGTTTTTCCTCCCCTCTGTCTAAATAATGATTCTGAAATCCTTCATTGGTCAATGGGTATCATTAATACGATTCTTAAGATTGAAATGAATATGAAGAAGAAGTTAGGACATGTCACAATCTCCCTAAAAGAGTCTAATAAATTAATGTGAGTTATTTCATGGGAAACTCAGAATGGATGAATACACTTTCCACAAATGCTGAAAATGCAGGAGATAACAACATGGACGATATTCTACCTTAATTAGTTGGTAGTAGCAGTTACATTATCTGCAGATGCATCATAGAAAAACAAGATGAGTCATAGGAGCCCATAGTAAGAGAGGGGTGAATTCATTTGATAAGCACTGTACATAGGCAACATGCCTGATTTCATGCAGGAGGTAGTCTAGGCCTAGGCATTTGAAAGTGTTAAAACATGGCATGATACTTCATTATTTTGGCTCAATTAGTATGTTTCTGAACCCCTGTACCTGGGGCTAAAGGTGTTTAAGAAATACTCAGACTCCATCACTGAAGATTGAGGGACATAGTGTTTACACATTGACCTTTTACTGCCTAAAGCATTGCCCAGCATGATACTATGGTTTTTCTAAAGATGTAATGCTGAACTAACATCACCAAATGTTAGGTGATATGAATTCAAAATGAAGACAGAGTAAAGTTGAATCAAATACACGAGAAGTACTTCTCCACAACCGTGAGTAGGCCACAGAAGTGTTTGGAGCAGATAAAAATTAGGCAACTGCTCAGCCAGAAAGAATAGCTGGCTAAGACAAGATCTACTGGACAGAACCAGGTAAGGGTACCATATGACTATGTGGGCATGATTGTGTCTAGGTGTGTGAAAGAGTTTTCCTTGAATCGTTGTCTGCAATGATTCTGACTAATAAAAGCACTATCCCAACTGTATTTTATGCCCTGAGGTTTAACAAACAATCTTGGATGATACTAACAATAGGCCTAGTTTCAAATTCATAAACAAAAATTGATATACTAGAATTATTTGGCTAGCATGTATCAGAATGTCAACTTTTCCATCAATGCACGAATATGATCAATTGCTGGGAGATGCATGTAGGTCATCCCATGCTTAGTGGTGCAAATTTCAAGTAGTTGGGTGCATCACTGGCTGAGAGCCATAGTTATTGGGGGTTATAAGAAACTGTAAATCTGAACCATTCAAGTCTAGTTCAAATGATTTTCAAGATTTTCAGTTCAAGTGCTTTCCTGAATCAAGGAGGAATAAATTAATTAACCTGGGGGGAGTGGGGAACACCATGTCCCAAACTTAAATGCATTCAAATTGACCATGGGGTAATCTGAACTAAAAAATTTCACTTTCTCATTTCCTCTTGTCCTGCTTCATGTGCAGCAGGATATCATGTTTTGTCTTCGTAGATCTCAAAAGGAAAATAAATAATGAAGTGCAATAGCGCTGAGGCCGTCAGGGCAGGTTTCTGTAATTCAAATTACAGAAACCACCAAAAATAAAGCAAGTCACATCTACCCTAGGCCTATGACACTCACATCGATGCATTTCCTTATAGCAAATGGACATGGCCTGAAGAGTTGTGTCCTCCGCTGGGAGGTCTTTCTTCACTTCTTCGAGAATTGCCTCGCATTCTTCTTCCCGCCCCAGTCGCAACAGCCCTAAACCTTTCAGCACCTATAAGAAACTGCAGTGTTACCAGTGTCCTGCTTACGACATATATATACCTAGAATGTCGCCGTGTCTACGATGATGAATTAAATTGCGATCACACACACCTTTGCACAATGGAAGTTAGGCTGTTTCTTAAGCACTTTCTCGGCTTCCTGGATGGCCTTCTTGTTGTTCCCATTGTCCAGGCATTCTGCCGTGGAAATAAATATGAATGCAGAGTAGAGAAGAAATGAACGAGGTATTTCGAACATCAGCGCGGAAACTCACCATAAACGGGTCTGAGTCTTCTTTCGCTCACGCTGTGGTCCACGACAGCCAGTCCCTTGGCGGCCATGTTTCTCCCAGGCAACGACGGTTGCCACCATCGTCTTCATTTCTCGAAATTTCTCCTCTGCTTCCGGATGGAATTCGCACTCCCCTACAGGAGCGTTTCCATCAATTGCAGGTATTGATATCTTACGCATGGGTGGTTACGTCTATCACCTTATGAAGAGGAACCGCTAGAAATTGATGTTTTCTCCATTTTCCAGTATGAGGGGGGAGGGGGGAAAGGGGGGGAGGGGTGGTATGAATTCGATCAGGAAACAGTGTAATTAGGTGTTTCGCATCATTACTCGTCACTAAAGGAGAGAGATGGAAAGAACAAAAACCCAGAGGGATATGAAGCATGACGGGAGGGAGAAAGAGAAGAGCGCTTCGATACCATATTTCATTCGGGGTATGGGAATGGTGGGTCACAACTGAAATGCGGTCAAGAAGGGAAGACTTAAAGCATACAAGCTTAGGCTCAGGCTTATTCATGGGGGGCTTAGGGGGGTCTCGCCCCCCGCTCTTTTCCCCCCTCCAAAAAAAAGATTGGCCGATGGGACTCAGCCCCCTCAACAATCCATGGAAAAAAAAGAACTAACACTATGAAAACATGCATAGTCTTGTTGAACTTGAGGATATTCGTCTACGAAAATAGCTAATCTACACCCCTAAGCTTGTGACGCGCAAAATGGGACGTGAAGTATGTTTAGGACTCGGCGGTTTGACACGCACAGGAAAGATCCCGTCGGCGAAGGAGAGGTGAACCTCCTCCATCCTCCCCCATCCGCCTCCATCTCGTGAAGAACTGAAAGATTCCTCTAGTTGAAGCAATGGTCCCAGTTTAAGAGGGGAAAATGTGAGTGAAAATGTGAGTGATTTGCGATCTTCCCTTCCCAACTCGATGGATGGGGAACGAGGAATCTCCCACCGAGCGTCATTCGTGGCCATTCCAAATCCAGTCCGTTCCGCTTGCGAAGGAGCTTTGAGAAAGACTTGAGGCTCGTAGGGCCAGAAGAGCGTCGGTGAGTATTTTTTCTCCGCGTCGAAGGTACTCGGACGGCAGGACTAAAAATTGAGAATATGTAACAAGGAAAAACGTATCGATCGTTTAAGATTTTTAGCATACGAACGCTCGACTGATTGAAATTGCCACAGCAGTCAGTGACGTGCCCCAGGGGGGAGGTTGGGGTCAATTTTACAGGTTTGATCCTCACAGTTTTTTTTTTTGGCCACAAATACAGGGTGGGTTAGCAGCTTTTTTTTTTATATGTTAACCCCCCCATTAGGATGGGTAATGAGTGTTTCATATGGCAAACCCCCCCCCCCCCATTCGGATTTCCTGGTCACGCTACTGACTGCAGTTGAGGGCAGAGTCGAGATCTTAGTCTAGTAATTGGAACAGTCGGCTGAAAACCAAATGTCAAGCCGAAGTCTTTCTGAGAGGATGAAGATTCGGGGGGAGGGGTGGGGTAAAGAAGGAGTTGAACTGAGAATGAGTATGAATAGGAACACCATGGAACACCATCCTTTTAATTATTGCACTTTTTTTTTCCTAAAGCGGCTTTTGCAATTATCTGCAATATGCTCCTAGTGCATTGCGACTATTAAACTGCCCTCAGAAAAGTTGTGGGGGGGAAAGGGGGAGGGGGGGGGGGGGGTTAAAGCTTGGATTTCTAAAGGGGAAGGGCGGATGAAGATCATGGGAGTATTTATATCGTTTGGCGCCGAGATAACTCGGTCGCTGTTGAGTCAACAAGAAAGACGGAGAAATGTTAAGGGCGTTCACGTTTCTTGGTTCGAGAGAGGGGAAAGCAGTTGCAGGAGTCTTTGGGCCGATTGCATGAACGATGTTTATTTTAGACATTGACTATCGATAGTAATTGTTTAAACATTGTCTACGAAAACATCGGTTAACCGCTGTCTAACCTTTTTCAGCTTCTGTTAGACATCGGTTAGACAATGGTTAAAGGAAGATAGCGTTCATGCAATCCATTTTTTACCTTAGACATCGGTTAACCGATGTCTTTCGAAAAACACCGGGAAAACATCGTTGATGCAATCGGCCCTTTATCTCCGGTCTCTCGTGAAATCGTTGAAATCGAAGGGAGACGACTCGGTTTCCTCGCGTCTGTGTTCTTGTCGTTTTGATTTTTTTCGTTGGGGGAAAAAAAAAAACGAGTCTGGAATTTTTTTTTCGAATTTTCTCGAATGCGTATTTTTTGCATCTTGAGAAACGAGTCGCTGTTAAGAAGAGAAACTTACCCACTTCAAGGCACAAGGTAGTTGCGGGAATCAACATAACGGGGGCGGGGGGGGAGGGGGAGGGGGAGGGCCTCACTCGATTCAAAACAATTATTTCCATCTTCGATAGAGAACTTCGCGAATTAAATATTTTATTGTGAGTTTCGTCGTTGATTTTCAGACGTTGAGTTCTTTACGATTTAAAAAATATTATATATAAGAAATAATAAGGACCAAGGGTCCTTATTAATTCATAAGGGTCAAGTTTTTTATTTTCTCATATTTTATTATTATTCTTTTTGATTCCTTTCTCAATGGATTTAGCGCCAGAAAGAGAGACGAAAATATTTGCACATTATTTATGGCAAGACCGAAAGGAAATTCCTTCTTCGCAGGAACTCCAGCGAATAGCGAAAATTTGCAGGAAAAAAAAAACACTTTCTGCGAGAAAACTCAATTGAAAAAATGAACGTGAAATCAGGCGGAAAATCGGCACGAATGGGATTTTCACGGTCACGTGGAACCCCGTTCACTCCAAAGGACATTTAAATTTTAAAAAACGGATTTTTTTGTTTTCTGAATGATTTTTTTTTGCTCGGCAGAGCCAGTTGGAACGCGAAGCAGCGCAGCGACGATGCAGGAACCGACCCCTCGGGGATCGACCCCTCGGGGACCGACGGCCTCGACTGCGAGGCCGAGTGCGTTCTCGATGCGGTACGGCATGCTGGAGGCTCCATGCGGTGGGAGGAAGCGGTTCGTCGACGGGCTGGAGGATTGGGCGCTGCTTATGCTGTAGTGTGTTCTAATGCGTTATTTTAAGAAAATTGGAATGTCGGAATTGCCGAGCAGATGGACGTGCCCATGGACGATTGGGCACGAGTACGAACTCGGCCGGTTTCTATTCCGTGTGGCGCCCCCGGTCGGGGGCATCCTTGTGCATATCGAGGGCATCTTGCTTGCATGGACTTTTCCAAATATCGTGGACTTGGATGGAGTCTGCAGACGAAGCCGTCGGTGCGACTGGGGGTGAGAGGAAAACGGAGAAGCGAATGCGATGCGAGGGGGGACAGAGACTCCACCGATTCCTTGTTTTTAAAAAGATTTTCTCGCGTCGGTCGACCGAGCCTCGTTTCCCTTCGTGCAAGCCCTTCCCTTATCGGAGGCTCGGAACGAGTGCTCGCTCTCTCTCTCGAACACGCGTTTACGGCGTTGCGTGCGATGCGAAAGAGACGCAACGGGGAGGCCGAAGGGGGATATCGTCCTCATCGCGGCGGGAGAGATCCGATATGGAGGTGGAGAGGAGGTGGCTTTTACATTCCGAGACTCCTCGGTCCGCTTTGGGTCTCCTCACGCGATGTCGTCCGTCGCCTTCGACAAAGCTCTCGGTACAATGGCTTCTTCTCTCGGCAAACTTTGGTTCCCCAGCTTTCCTCGTCTATTTTTTCTCGGGAGGGGGAAGGTCGCGATGCGAGAACGTTATTGGCACGCGGATGGCTCCGTCGTTTTGGCAATGCGCCCGGCTCCTCGTGGCTTCGAACAGACGCTCGAAACCGATGAATTCAAGCGTTTGTTTTCTCACCACGTCTGGACAGACACCTTTTCTTTCCTTTTTTTTTTCAAGAACACGATACCTGTTTGTTACAGACGCTGCCACTGAAGCAACGACGAAGAAAAACGGTCCTGTCTCATGGGTTGCCCAGACCCACGACTCGTTTTCGACCCGATATGTACCGTGGCTGCAGATCGACAACAATCTGGGACGACCTCGTCAAGCTACCAGGAAAGTTTCTTTGGCATTCACCCGATGTTGCTAAGGTGTAAATGCCCCATGCTTCAGTTTTTGAGCTTTGCTGCCCTCTTTCGATGAAGACAGAAAACCGAGGCCGTACTGAATCACATGACTCACGTGCGCTTTCGAGATTCCTGGATTTCTCTTCAATGATACGCGATAGCGATGAGTGCTTGAACCTTGCAACAATGACTCATTTATGGGGGAGTGCGGCAGTTAGATTAAATTCGAATCTACCTTTCATCGATTTCAATTAAACCGTGATTCGAGATGAAAACGGACGTTGCAGTTTTCCAACATCGGGGTGAGTGAGAGTGAAAATCACGACAGTGCATGCCTTTTGCCTGAGTCGTATGACATATTTCAACACCTGAAAGGATTCAAAAAAGAAAGGAACAAATTAAAAAAAGAACCTTTCCTGAAAGGAAAGGTTCAACCCACGTCTTCGCGATGTGCTCAGAATGGTAATTTGGACACTTGGTATTGGGAGCGGTGGGAAAGGTGAATCGAACGCCTGGCACTGCTACTAGCAATCTCGAGTCCAGCGCGAACGAGACGGGAGGCCGCCCGTTCTGCAATCCTTTTAATTTCAGTTCGAAATCACTGGGGCGCTTAGAGCAGGAAAGCACGGTAGTACTGGAGGGCTGCGATTACGAGGCTGGCCACCAGGAGTTCCCCATGGGGAAGGCAGCCCTTCCTACGAAACGGAGACAAGGCAACTCGCTAGGCACATGCTGTACGTGCTGATCGTCGAGACCAGCGGTTCTCAAACTGTGGGTCGCGAGAGGCATCAAGGTACATTTTCCCAGTATCAAAAATCACTAAATCCGCATCCGCTCAGGATAAAACATGCTCTGAAGACGAGGTCGATCAATTTTCTTCGTTATAATTACTTTGAAAATACCTCGGTCTGGATTTTTGTGGGTCGCGATTCAGAGAAGTCTGGGAACCACTGGTACAGACCACTGAGTTGTGGCAGAGACACAGGGATGAAGAATGCTGTCAGGACAAACTGGCATTTCAGGTTTCGAGAGACATCATTAAACCTGGAAACAAAAAGTATTCCAATACTTGATGTTTTTTCATGCTCAATTAGCACTTCTGCAACAACATTATTAGGAGAGACTTGGTGCTTTCAAGGCGGATATCACCCATGAAGACCCCTATTTGAACTACTTAAAGGCTATTATAAAATGGAAAAGTATTGGAACCGGATATTTGGTATACGGAGTTAATGGGCACTGCACTCTTCATCTTTTGAACGTGGCACACTGAGTAGCATGTGCTTTATCCTGACGTCCATCATATTCTCCCCAGACAGTGGGTGGCTTGCATGTTGGCAAAGAGCCCAAAACTGACCTCTTCATGGCATGCCATTTCATGATTCAACCACTGGTCCAGCTGGTACAACTGGTCCAGCGAACCCAGCTGGACAGGGGATACCTCAGCACAGAACTTTCCAATCTTTCAACATGGAATAGAAAATGACACTAATGGCGACGCCTGAGCATGGGTAGCATTTCGCAGAAAGAATCCCATCTCTTCCTTCTTGATTTCGATGCTTTATTCTCATCAAGTTATCACAGCATCAAGGCAAATATCAGTTTCACCTTCCGATCACTGAGCTCGCTTTTGATCCACCGAGTTCAATCATTGGGAATCAGATATGGAAGACGAGCAGCTCAATCACATCAAAGGAAATTGCATCACATCAAAAAAGTCATTGCTGAAAATTGCTGCAGGGTCTCTGATCTGGAAGACAAAAGGGAAAGAAAAAGACCCATAATTTATAAAAATCTTCTGTATAAGTAAATCCCTGCTGAATCAATAGTAATACCACAAAATAAATGTAACATGAACATAACTTTAATTTTTGCAAAGGGGGGACTAGAATATATACAAGAAGTGTTCATGCAATGATGAGCTGGCTTTTCTCCATAAGGTAATTTTTTGGTGATTTTTCCTTAGTGTAAAGCTCAGACCCTCTTCTGAGTGAACATGACAAATCTCACCCATATCTTTTACTTGCAGACCTTATTTAAAAAGTATCTGTAGCTAAAACTTTGCAGGCCCATGCTTCCTTTCTGAGAAAACCAGCTGCAATTAAACCCATAGAAAAAATAGTAAATTTTCTTACAATCATGCAGAAAGAACTACCTTTTACTTTGCCAAAATAAGTTTCTTAACCTATTGGGGTCCATGCCCGAGTTATCTCATGCTGGCTTCATGATGAAGGATAGAAGAAACTTGGCTGATGGTGCTGACACATTCAACATACTCAGACCCCAAAGGCGATTCAAAGAGGATGCTAAAGCCACAAGAGAATGTAACCAGTAGTGTCAGATGTGCTTTGAAATGCAATCTCAGGAACAGTAATTGCTGGAAAAGCAATTGCAATTACAAGTTAGTAGCAGGTTTATTGGATACTAGTAACCTGGCACCCATTGCTGGAGAATCCAATGCAAAAAACAGATGCATATTTTTTTCATCTCTCTTCCACAAAATAGTTTTATCAAAACTTAAGGAAATGTGATGTGTTCTTGTGGGGATGCTTTCTTGGAAGAGTTCTAAAATTTAAGGAGGCAAGAGAAAACCATGAGACTTAATGTTTATAAATGAGAGTAAAAAAAAACATTAAATGAGGCGATTTCACCATAATTTTCCAGGTGAGACAACCCATTATGTGACCAGCTCAGTATTACTTGAACAATCCTTGCATATATTGACTACATGAGAATACCAGTAGTAAATGCAAAGCCCTGTCTATGCCTGTTAATGGCTGTTTTCTCAATGTCTCAACCAATGGAACTAGTGATGGTGTTTTGGATACAAATTGGTCAGAGTTTGCATTGACAAATGAGAAAACATAGGGATAGACTCAAGGACTTGGAAACATACCCGACAGAGCCTCCTTTCATCCTGTTCCATATCTCCATTGCTTCCATCTTTGAAGTTTGGAAAGAGAAGTGGGAAAAGAGAAGGGAAGTTGTCAGGGGGAAGTTGTCCAATTTGTGGCTGCTTCATACTCCAAGCAACGCACTTGGGGCAGATGAGTCTTGGGTGGATTATGTTCATCCTATTCCTGACAGTCTGGAATGTAACAGTACTTCATGTGAGCACACACTATGAAAGAGAAACTCTTCAAAATTGAACAGAATATAAAAAAAAAAAAACACATTAAAAAGTGCCAATGATAATGGAATAGCCTACTATCTCTTGATTGCAAATCCATGATGCAAAGGGATGAAGGAAAGGTGAGGTCCAAATAAAATTAGCTGTTTAAGTAAGGCATGGTATGATATGCTTTCTGATTGGCCCCCAACTCTCCCTTCCTTGGCTTGGTGAAAATGAGTACAAATGACCTCATTTTGTTTTATATTGAAATAATGTCCAAAGAGCAGCCCTCTCTACCTCACTTACTTGAGAATATAGTATTCTTAATATGGAGTCTGCTGATCCCATTTTCCCATGGCTCTATGTTACTTCTTTTATTTTTATTTTTTTTTCTGTTCACTAACAAGAGCTTTAATAACAAAATATTACTAGACTTAAACTTGAACATTAAAGCATCACAAAAAAATCTTTAAGTTTATACAAAAGGTGGCAGATCTGAAATGATTTTTTTGTCCTACTGAAAAGGACAAATTAGGGACATCTACAAAAAAGCACTCATCAATTAGAAGCTTCTTCAGGGAGCAAAGGCAATTTCAGCACCAGCTTTTTAATTTGAACTTTTTTAAATACAAAATTTACTTTAAATTACAGAAAATACATGTAATACAGATAGAAAAGAGTGACTTTCAACTGGCAGAGGATCATACGAGAGATAGCAAAGGAAAGGTCAAACACTCTAGTCCATGATAGTCCAAAAAATGACAAAGCGAAAAACTTAACCCATCCTCTTCCATCAAATTTTGTTTCCTGAATTTTTCTTTCTTCAAGTCATTGCATTTAGCTAACTGTCATTGTGTGCCTTCTCTGTGGTCTTAGAGTGAGTACTTGGTATGTGCAATATGCAGGTATATATTTTTCTAGGCTGGGTCCCTTACAGTTATATTCCATTAATTTAATGAAGGTTTCAGAACATGTAATTTCTTCTGCCTGGACCATGGAAATAAACTCTTCCAGGGACTGTAGAATGAGAGGCCATCAGTTGAGGATGCTCCATCAACAAAGGGAGCACCATGAAGGCAAGAGACCAATAAAAATCCTACCCAAGGGTCTAGTGCCAGACTGGCATCATATGCTTCATAAGGATTCTTCAGTTGAGAAGTCAACATTATTTATTAGCATGAGACAACTATGAGCTCAATTGAACACTAGTTCACTTTTTCCCTTGAAAACTCATTCAAGGACACTGTTGGGAATGGGAGTGGCAAGACTAGGAATATGGAATTGGACTTACAACATGGATCTTTGGCTGTGAGATGGAGATGGGAGGGAGGTCCAGTTCCACAAGATTCTTCTGACAACCTGAGCATGCAGAGCCAGGATACTGGGTCATGAATTCCTTTGTGTCCACCATCATCTCCAGTCTTTCCTGGAAAACAAGTTTGCAGTTCCTGCATGGTCAATCATGAGAATACATGAGAAATACACTAAATGCACTAGGCATGACTTCTGACCTGACACAAAGCGATTGCCAGGAATGCAGGCTCATTAAGGGTGACAAGGTGCTTGGCTCGAGTCACTGCCACATACAAGATGTTAGCTTCTTCTCTCAACACAGTAGAATTTCTGTGTCTCATCATGAGGAGTGATAGCAGTGTGGTGAAGTCATCACAAAGGTGCACACATGCAAATTCAAGGCCCTTGCTCTTGTGTACTGTGCCAAAGATGAATTCTAAAGGAAAAAGGGCAAAGAAGCCTCAAGTCATACATTGCCAAATTTCTGCAGCAATAAAGCTATAGAAAGTTAAGGACCTGCATGACGGGGATCCTGAGCACATCTCCGCCTCATATTGTTCAGATGAATTTCAGTGTTCTCTTGGAACTTGATAGCTACTGCAATCTTTCCTTCAAGCACTGCATCTTGTACAGATTTAGCATAAGCTGTGAGGCGGGCTCGAGACTCAAAGCCCCGTATAAAGGGGTTCTTGATAGCATCTGCACAGGTTCAGACAAATGGAGCAAGGCTGAGAATGTAGGATCATGAGGCAATTCTGAGAAACTTAAAGAGGCTGCACAATATACCTTTACTCAGTTCCCCACTCTTTACTCGGTCAAGGTTCCATATATCAACTGCATCTTGGAAACTGTAGCATTCCAAACCCTAGAGTGAAGAGGATAACAATCATAACAGATAATTAATATGATGAAATTTTCCATTGTATACACCTGCTAATCAGTGAAAGAAACATACACCAATGAAGGCAATGGCAGACCGAGACAAGGCAGGTAAATTGAGCAAGCGCACAGCTTCAAAGAAAACAGAGTAATTTGCACGGCAGAGGACAGCCAGCTGCCCCTCTCTGGCCAGGGATCGAGGTTGAAGCCAGTTGAAACCTTGGATAGAGTCCTTCTTCCTCCTTCCAACCAGGGTCTGTTTCTTTTCTCCCTGTAGCCCCTCCAAGATGCACGATGCCAAATAGCCTATGTTTGGCCCAAATCGAAAACTCTAAATGAGGAGAGAACATGAAACATGGTAGATATCTCAGGTAGCATATATATCATACAAAGGACACCTGCGAGAATATAGGGCTTTTCAATAAGAAATTTATAGTCCTGGGCAGAACATTTTCATATGATTCTTCAGCTCCTCCATGTCTTACCTATGAATATTTTGGTAAAAATTTAATGACGTAACCTTCTGGGACAAGATCATGTAACTGGATTCATACCATTGACATGATTGAGCTATTAACTTTTCTCATATGGTGGAGAGATACATAAAAAAGGGGTGCAGAGAATGAATTAAATTTATTAAGGTGATACATACCTATCTCACAAATCTCTGATGAATCACAGTAACCAAGAAAACATTGAAATAGGTAGTGAAAAATACTTCTTTTAGGATTTAGTCAATTCTTGCTAACCTGTGTGAGATAGTAGGTATGAGTGGACTCAACAGATTTCAGTGCGTTAATTGCACCTCGGAAAGCATAGATCTGCTGATTGGGGTCACCGACAATGATCTTTGGACAGATCTGAGACATCAACACGTCCAGCATTGCTGAAACAATGAATGAAAGATATAAAAAAAATAAGTACAGGAAGATCAATTGATGTATAGTCAGTTCTCTCTGTCAGATTTAAACTGTGGCATATTGTCAAGTAAGAATTATGTTTTATATCCAGAATTGAGTTTAAGCATAGCACATCTATCCTATTTTCACATCATCAGGGAAATCATGCACAAGTACATTGCAGACTGCATGTTACTCAAGAGATATGTGAACATTATATGTGGCAAACAAATCATAGTAAATATTTTATTTTAATGTAGCAGACAATACAGTCAATGGAACTCCAAATTTTCAGTTCTAGAGATTCAAAAATTTCATTCTTACCTGATGATATAGTTCTTGGTTAATCATATGCATGCAAAAAATGAATTGACTTTGAATGTTTGAATGTGGGGTGGGGCAGCAATTAAAAAAAATCTGATGCTTGGCTATTCCAGTGTCATATATTCCTAGAAGGCAATTTCTTGAAGCATTAGTCCTAACATCTTGGTAGTAATTTTGGCTCTAGCAAGATTCAGTACATTTTGCTTAAGGCTTAATGTAAGGAAAATCTATGTAAACCATAATTGGAACTGTGAAATGATGGAGGCATTCTGGCACTATCAAATGCTGCATAGAGGCAGAAGATGAACTAACAATGAAATGATTGTACTTAGAAACTAATGGTATCATTGGATGGTTGTCAATGTCATTACATTGGTACACCATCCACTGGTAGTTGGTACAGTTTGGTAGTGCTAGAATGATTCCTTAATGGACCTGCAATTTCAGTGAAATCCAGTGGATATTAACACGTTGGTGACAATGCGTCCTGATGCCAGGATGCAGATTTTTTTTCAATGAATACCCTCTGGAACTGTTGAGAACGTTCCAGAAGATTATGATTTCGTAATTACTGATAAAAATTCCAAAAAATTCAACATTTTAAAAAAACTCGGCAAAAAAAATGTTTTCTGGGACCATGCGTCCTGANAATTCCAAAAAATTCAACATTTTAAAAAAACTCGGCAAAAAAAATGTTTTCTGGGACCATGGGTCCTGATGGCAGGATGCATTTTTTGACAAAAAAAATGTGCGTGGTCCCACGCGGCGGACAAGCAAAAATAGGCTGGTCGTCAACGTGTTAAAATGACCACAATATGTTTTTCAACCTATCCACCAAGGTGTGAGAATTAAAGGGTGGAATAGAACCATTTTCTTCCTCTCTAGAGCTTAGTATAAAGAAAACTTGGTGAAATTCTACTAAAATGTGTATTTCTTTATCAAAATGGAACTTGAATGACCTGTTTTGGAACATGTAGGCCTAGCACCTGCATGACAAGTGGCTTCCAGACAATGAGGGTGAGATTAGAGTAATCTATTAAAAAATTTTCTAGTTTCCATTTCTTGGAGCACCCAGGGAAGGTTTCTCTGGTTAAATTCTGGGATTTCCCAATTTTCTCGTCTTTTCTTGTGCTTGAGGTATCCACTTCAGTTTTTATCATAGCCCTGAGGCTTTCTGTTTCCATCAATTCAGGCGAGTTTCCCAGAAAGTTGTCATTTCCTCAGAAGTTGACTCTATTTGCCTTCAGTTTTACCTGAGTGGGTTTTCTTGCAAGGAGCTTCATCAAGAATGAAAGTGGTGAGCCTTTAATCAAGCATATTTTCTGCATCTTGAAGGGTGATACACTGAGTCAATACTGTCTGTCTAAAACTTGGCCATTCCATGCTTTCCAATGATCTTTGAAGACAGATGGAGATTGAGAAGAATAGACAATTTTATTCTATAATAAATAATTAGATTCAGTAAAACTCTTGGCAATAGTTGTCATAGTTTGCCATGACAGTGTTTTCAACCTATTGCAGAAAAAACATTTTGTGAGATGAAATGCACACAGTAAAAGGAAGGTTCTTTGATTCCTGATCATGTGATTCACTTCAGACAAAATACAAAGGGACATGTGTGTTTCAAATAAATGCCATGCACTTCTGAATCAATAAATTCCACTGACCTGCATTCATGTCCTGTCCTTCATCAATGAGAATGCAATCTTTCTGCTCCAGAGTAGGGTGATGCAACTGCCACAGCTTCAGATAAGCATCATGAGGGAGCCTCAGCTGATGACTTGTTCTTGTCATACACTCCCATGTAAACTCAGCATCTTTTGCTAATTCCTTTGGAAGAAAACCCCATGATATCAAAAGCTTTTTCTCTCATAAATATGCTCCCTGTTCAAGACTGTATGGAATTGTAAACAGGTTCTTACAACTCTCTCTTCTGGAGAGAGTGAGGTCTGTGAAAGAGAATCTTGAGATGAAGTCCATACTTCAGGGACATGGGCCATTGTGATGATCTCATCTGTGGCACACATGAATTTCTTTATTGTTTCAAGCACAATGCCTGCACGCCTGAACATATTTCCAGCATTCTCCCTTTGTCTCAGAGCATGATTACTAACTATGTCCTTGGCCTTCAAATCACCAGTTAGCTTGTGTCTGTATCTGAAATTGAAATGGAAGCCAGATGACTCCAAGAATTTCAGAAGCATATATCAACAGAAAAGTTTATTGATCTCACTTGAAGCCTTCAGCACGATATGCCAGAGAATGTGCTGTAGAGCATCTGACATTCTGTGGGAAGAGCTTTGAGGCATACTCTTGTGCACTTTTATTATAAACAACAAGGAGGAAGGACAGATGTGGATGAGCCTGAGCAAACTTCAGCAAAGTGGTAGTCTTGCCAGTCCCAGCAAGGGCAACGATTTTTATTACCTGTTATGAAAGGGAGAAAAGACTCACGCTTCACATAGGAAACGAACAGACTGATGTAATCATTGGGTTTTGATGAGATTTACCTGCCCAGGACCTAGGCTGTGGCTCACAATACGAAGCTGTTCATGAGTGAGAGACATAGAGGAACTGCTCAGCCCATAGCGCATTAAGGATTGCTGCCCTTTGTTTGGAGAGCTCACCTGTGACATCATTGCTCCACCAGAGTTTTCAATGACATGTAATGCATAGTACAGGCGATAGTGATATCTAATAAAAAATTGGAAACACAGTAGAGCAAAGAGTTCTCCACTACAAAGCACTTGCCGAAATTTCTTTTTTAAGACAAAAAGTGAAAATACTAAGTAGTGAGTGATACTGGCAAAAAACTGACCCATGATTAACATCAAATGTGTATTGTGCATGTTGAAAGAGTAAAGCCAGGGAATAGAAGAAATCTATGAGATCATAAGCTGTGATGCGATTTCCAGGAGAATGAGATATGAGATGGAAAATGTAGATGATGTCATCCACTTCATTACTGAGAATGCTGAGGGCCACCAAGACAGTCCATATAGATGAAGCACCTTCTGGTATGCTTTCTTCCAATAGTCTCACACATAGCCTTATCTTTGACCATGACTTGAGCCATATCACAACATCTTGATGATGATGTCCTTTGTACTGAAGAGCAAACCTAAACATAAAACAAAAGCAAACAATAGGTGAATGAAGCAGGTGTTATGATACTCTAAAATGGGTTTATTACTTTTCATGATTATGTATTATTAGTTATTTCTGAGAATATGCTAACAAACATCAGCACTGGGCTTAAAACCAGAATCCAGTTTAAAACATTGCAGAAATGTCAATTGGTACCTGAGTACTGCAAGAAGACAATGTTCGACAGAAGTCATCCCAAGGGATGATGCCAGAGTTTGTACTTTCTTCTTAGCCTCAGGACAAGTCCCCAGTTTGTATTTGTAATACAATTTCTTCCAAGGAATGAACTGAAAAACAAATATAATTAGGCTCCTAAACACTGGTAGGCCAATGCAAAAGAAAGTGCTCCTTTGCAGGATGCTCCTTTTAGAGTAAACAGTAGCAAATGTGGCCAATAAGCATAGAAAAAATGCATGGAACAAGTAATTGAGAGAGACTAACTAGTCCGTCTAGTACCTAAACATATTATTGTCAATCAGGATATGGAAAGTTAACTAAAAGTTATGACCAGCTTGAAATGGCAATGAGAAGGACTGACTGCATCACTGGCGATGACAGAGTGCCAGTAGGAACTGACAAGAGGCAGATGTAGACAGAGGTCAGTTATGGGGAGTCGACAAAGGATCATTTCAAATAATTCTGGAGGCAGGGCAGAAAATGGATCTGAGGAGGAACCTGATACAATGTTTGGCTCACTCTGGGTAAACCTATCCATGTTGGCCTTTATTCACGGCCTCTGCCTCATGGAAATCTGGAAAAAGAAGTAGAATTTCATGAACAGAAATGGTTCTATAGGTTTACATAGGTTTAGGTCTAAGCAAAATACAGAGTACACACTTTGTTATGTTCCAACCTACATCTACAGAACAGAAACCCAAAGGATTATTTTTCCTCTTAAAGGGCTTAACAAGCACAAGTGAGGCAAAACCTTTCATGATGAAAATAGCCATAGGTGAAGCCCTATATCATGCACTCAAATATTGCTTCATACATTTGATGTGCTTCATGGCGCTTAATGAGAGACATTCAGCATATCCTTAAAAACAAAATGATGACCATACAAAATGCTGGCTGAATGAGTACTGAGAACAGCCCATTCAGACTTTCACACATACAAATTTATAGGCATATTGTTTGGTGTTGCATTTACAGCTAAAAATAAGGGGGGTGGGGGGGGGGGGGGGAAAGCCAGATCAGTCACAACTTCAGGCAAGGTCAGCTACAGATCCAAGCTAGGTTGGTCACTTTAGAGCATGATTTTTCTTCCTAAATTTTAGAGTATGAGTGACATCATGAGGCAAGTGATTTTGGACTTGGCCTTTAACTTGGATACAACCAAAAATAAAGAAAGAAACATACAAGCGAAAGGGGCAGGGCAGAAACACAGGATGCTCGCGCGCTCTCTCCTGATAGGCCTAAGATGCTATATTATTGAAGTGTCTCTTCCTTGACTTTGCCACGTATGTGTGGGAATTGCTTCATACGCGAGTCTCATGGAATACCGCAAGGTCGGGGGTCTATAAGAGCTTGGCCTAGGCGTGAGAAAAATCATGAACAAATTATACTTGGTACGACCTCCCTCTTCCTCTGAAGTAGACATCTATATTCCCGCAGTTTTCGGCTAAAAATGTAGAATTACTGAATTGAATAGTGGGAATAATGTAGGTGTCCTAAAAGGAGTGCTCCTCTTATACTATAGAACAATTCCATAAACCAGAGATGGTTCGATCCGTTTGAATCTTCTACACATAAAGCAACTGCTGCTCATACTTTTACGACCATTTCTCGACGCTTCAAATAATGTTTATGCCGAGGCCTATATCCTTCTAAGTGATCACGTGCTTCTGTTTTGTTTTCCTGCAGCCATGAGTACAAGGAAAGATTGAATTAGGGATGCCTGCATTCGGAAGATACTCGGAAAACTCAACGCTCTTTCATCAGTCTTTTTATTATTTAAATGAAGAGTACCGTTTGTATTTACATTTTAAAATGTATTCAGTTACCTTTGAAAGCATAGAAACTTTAAAATCAGTGCATTTTAACTAAAGTTAGGGCTCAACTTTAATCAGGTGTTATAGGATTCGGAGAAAAAGGAATTACATCTCTGTCTCACCTGCCTGTCCGCTCTGGCGCGGTCTTGCGCGCTGAACGCAGCCGCAGCTGAGCCGGCATGGAACTCATGCTGCATCCGGACCCGTCGAACTCAGGAGCTTCTCAACTGAATACAGATTCCTTTACCCCAGCGGTTCACTACCTGTGTGCCACGGCACTTGGGTGCCCGCAAATTTTTTATTTATTAGTCAGCCATCAATGTAGGGTAAGAAGGCCATGAGAATACGATGCTCCTTTACAGATGCAATCGAGAAACACCTTATGGAATGGGCAGGAGGTCTCTTCCAAAGAACTGCTTTCAGAGTATCACACCTCTGACTTCAGCCCGTGCACCTAATAAAACCATGTACCATGTATTCAATATGAGTCAAATTTGATCAGAATTGACTTATATTGTGCATTCCTAGAATGGAATTTCATTAAGAGAGCGCCCATCAAGGAAGAATACCTCTTATCAACGTCCTTGCTGCAATTTTTTAAATATCCTGATTGCCTTTGTCCTCACACATTTGTGCCTATCTCCTCATATTCTGTGAAGATGAAAAACAAAAAAGGAACTTAATGTTATTGTGCATGGAGGTCCACAGACATGCAAGAGTGCTGCCAGAAAAGTGTGCTGTTGCTATGAAAAGGTTGAGAGCTGCTGTTCTCAAATTATAATGTTCAAACTTCCTTCAATTCAATTCCTTGCAGCTGTTGAATTCACCCATTGTAATGGGTATTTGTGTTTCATTCCTTCAGTTTTGGTGCACAGCATAGGCCTAGCATGTGAGAATCTATTGAGCTCATGATTTGGCTTGCTGTTGCTGCACACTATTATACAATTATATTTTTGTGGGATCTGATAAACCATACCATTGGCCTACTATGCCTGTCTCAAGAGTGGACTGCTTTCTAATTAGACTTTCCAGCAACTGGTTCTCTATATCCCAAGTGACTTTGGCCTATGTATTGGCCTAAGGCTAAAACTTTAGCCTGCAACTTGCCTGACCCAGTCTATCCAGGAGATCCACTTGTGATCTATTCTTCATTCTTCAATCAAAATTGTCTTCAATCTTGACAGGAGAAAGTGTCATGTCTGGACGTGGCAAAGGTGGTATGTAAACAAACCACTCATACTGTGTGTACCATTCATCTTTTTGTGGGCCATGATCTTTAAGTCTGAATCCACACCACATTGCCATGTTCAGTCAGGAGAGAGTTTGTACCTGCCTGAATGTGACTGGGATTAGACTTGTCCTCCATTCCTTGGGGTGCTTCAAATTCATATCTCATATGCTGAAGGAATAGTTGATATAACTTATTTAATGACAGTATAATTCATAGCTCTGAGTAGGAAGCTTGTGCATGCATGTTACTCTGCAATATATGCTGTCAACCCTATGAAGAAATTATTACTTTTCCAAAGTTCCATATGTCATGATTTGCTCATATATACTTACATTTTAATAATATTATGCAAGTATGTGCAGTATCCAGTTATAAAATAATTCACCTTGAAGCAAAGTGCTTTTAATAAGTCATAATTTTTATGCTGTCAGCTACTGTACCCCTACTGTAACTTGTCTGAGTTCAATATGGAATCAATCATTTAGATCCAAATGATCTTTTCCTCTGCATATTGTCATATTCCTTTTGTTCTCTACAATAATATGTGGCTCTTGAGTAACCTCAATTTGTTGCAATTTAGGCAACTCTATAGAATAGAGATGCTTCCCTTGTCTATTGGTACAGATGTGTACATACACTGCTCATCATTAAAAGTGGATCACTGTTATAAATCACTATGAATGTTACATTGGTCCAGTACAATCACTTTGTTTCATGCAGCCTGGATCACTTGTTTACAGTCAAATGGGTCTCTGAAAATTTGGATATAAAGTAGTTCAAGTTCACATACTCAATACATATTTCATTACATTCATCATTCCCTAAGAAATCAAGTGATTCACTTTGTATGTTAAATGGTGTATATGATGGCTGTTGAACTCTATTCCCTTTTGAGATATTCCCAATCCATCCTGCCACAACTTTGGCACTGCAATGAGACACCCAAGTCTCATCTTAGATCTCAGAAAGTCATGTCATCTGAGATGTGACTCTTAGCTCAGAAAGATGAATGGTAATCTGTAAGTGTAAACCTGCATTATTTCCATTAGTCCATTTCAGCCAATCCTAAAGCATTTCATGAACAGGGAAAGGGAAGAGCAAGGCCAAGACACGGTCTTCTCGTGCTGAATTGCAGTTTCCTGTTGGAAGGGTTGATCGGCTGTTACGGAAGGGTCAATATGCTGATCGTATTGGTTCAGGAGCACCAGTCTATCTAGCTGCAGTTCTGGAATATCTGACTGCTGAAGTGCTTGAGCTTGCTGGGAATGCTGCCAAAGATCAGAAGAAAGCCAGGTAAAATGGATTTAGAGTTTTGTGATTCTTCTAGACCTACATGACTAGGCTATAATAATGATAATGCCATTGGAAGTAAATATATTGGACCATTATATGTACAAGCTTATTTAACCACTTTCATGTTTTAACATTGCATGTCAGGGAATAATTTTTACTAGCCTTTGATATTGTATGCTAGCTTCCTATATAATTTTGCTACCCGATCTTGTATGCAACATCATAGTCTGCCATTATTAATTGAGTCACCCTGATCTGAGTTCCATCAATCACTTCATGCCAAAAAGTAAACTGGGAGATGCTATTTGATTTCTGTAGGATTGGACCTCGACATTTGCAGCTGGCAATACGAAATGATGAAGAACTGAACTGCCTGCTTCAAGGAGTCACTTTGCCACAAGGAGGGGTGTTACCAAAAATTCACCCAACTTTGCTTCCAAAGAAAAGCATCTCAAGCATTGACAGCTCTACTATCCCCAGTGGATCTCAGGAATATAACATCTGACTAATTTTTCTTTAATCTGCTTGAGTGCACTCTCTGAGCTCTTTTTGTTTCCTGTGTCATTTATCTCTTTTTTTGTAGTCTATAGCTCTGCTGTTGCATAGAAGAAAGTCCATAATACTCTTTGATCTCAGAAAAATTGTGAAATGTATCAAGAATTCCTTAAATGAAATATTCAGTTTTCCTTTATGTCACCTCAGGATGTGATTCTATTCTTTTGATAATGGGAACAGTATGATGTGATTTTAGGATGTGACAAAGTGAAAACTGATTCATTAGAGGCAAGTGCCATTATGTATAACAGTGCCAAATGGTATTCCTATTGAAAGTTTTTTAATTGATTGATCGTTGCTGGTCAGTGCAATTGTATAGTATAATAAACAAAAATAGAATGGACTCTAATCCTAAACAGTTCCATACCCTGTGCATCATCCCTGATAGTTAATAACACCCTGTGTTAGCTGCTGAGTCATGTGGCTTTTATTGCTCGTTTACCATTCCCTGTGTGATGGAGCAGTTGGGTTGCAGGATATCAAAAGAAGTCTTCATTATTACTCTGACCCCTTCACTCCAGATGTTACACATCTTTGGTAGCAACACAATGTTGTTTTCATGTCTGTGATGAAAGTACAAGTTTTTGCAGAGAATGTGAATTTTTTTTCTACAATTGTATATCATATCTTGATTAGTTGACCGCAAGAAAGTCATATGATACTTTTGCAATAGTTCAGTTTTATTGGTTTTTATGAGTAATAATATATTGATTTCTTGACAAGCAATGATGAACAAACCTGGACCATATGAACAGTGTGTTTTTGATGTATGTGCTGCCTTACATCAATTTCTCAAAGCATAAGAGCAGCTCAGTATGGATGCAGAGTTTTTTCAAGAGGAGAGGAAGGAAAGGATTTAGTTGACCCTGTCTCTGATACTTTAATGTCATCCTCATTTTCCTGTTCACCAGAGAAATGTAAAAAAAATTTAGGGAAAGCTAGGTCCAGTAGCAAAAACCTCCTTTGAGTGATCAATAATGGATTATTCAGGTATGACAATGTGGGGTATGATGAAAAGAAAGAGGAGAATGCTGGAAGATGGTGTTTGAGATTGGTTAGTGATCAAGCAAAGTGAGAGTCCTTCCTCTCTGCTCTGAGATTTTTTCAATGTCAAAGTTACAATACATTCATAATTGGGTGAAATATTATGAAGAGCATATAGGAATGAAGCTTACCTCATTTTCAAGCAGGATTTCCCATAAGCAAAAAACAGCACGTGCTGACAAGATACATACACCCAATTAAATGAGCAGCCTCCATCCTTTCTTAGGAAGAAAAAAGCCACTCCAAGCCATCCATTAAATAATGTCAGAACAAGAAATACAACCTGCCGTCATGATGCCACAACTGTCAGGCTTTTTGGCTACCAAAGATTAACTTATCCATATCCTGAATCCTTGTGCATGCAGTAGACTCTCAAAGAGTCAAATGGTAATGAGGTTCATAAGTGTCACTGCCGATGATGACAAATGACAGCAATAATGTTGACGAAGGGGAAATTTTCTTTTTCCAGTGCCCTGCTTTATGGCCTGTCCTCACATTCCTCTTTCTTTGAAATTTCATTTTTGAAGTATTTCTATCAACTCAGTTGACAAGTGCTAATCCTTTTTATGGTGGTCCTCCGGCCAGGAGGCAATGCCGGTGCACAAGGATTCAGGATACAGACTATACAAGAAAATGTTATATAAACTGTCCACTTAATACACCTGAGAATGTCTCTGGGATATTCATTGTTATGAACCTGGTGACCTTGATCAATGTTTTCAAGTCTTCTCAAGGTACATGAAGTTCTCCCAACACCTATGCTCATATCATGTCACATGGTCTTTTTATGGCCACATGATTTTTTAAATCAATCTCATGAAGTATGCCAGAAGGCCCTGTAAAAGGGCTACACAGTAAATAAATGGAGACTGACTTTGCACACCTCCTTAAAGAAACAATTCAGAATACTGGGATCAATTACCATCAACACAGACCTAGACTGCCTGAATAACTAGAGGTATGAGAGCAATACCCAATGGGGCAATATCATCAATTATGGAAAATGTATCTAAAATATCAGAAATATAAATTCTTACTAGAAGCAAGTTTCTACAAGACCAAATTTCATATTACCTACATGGAATTTGCATGGGTATGAGGCATACATTTATGTTTTTCATATCGTCTCTGACACCTATGGCAATCTATAACCACCTTCCATGAGTTGAGAGCATAAATCATCAGTAATTAATTGTTACTAATAACTAATGATATATGCTTAAACAAAAGTAACCATGCTTGGCATGGGTATAATACTGAAGTATGCAGGTGACACAGCTGTTGTACAATGATCTCCAGCACTCAGGACATGAACAATTATCAAAACCTGGTCAACCACATCTTCACCTAGTCAAGGAAGCACTGCTTCAATTCTTATTCTGAACCTCATGAAGTTGCAAGAACTGGTATCAATCAAGTAGGATAAAAATAACTGGGAGATCTGTGAGAGAAGAGGATCAACATAAGAGTGAGCACCCCTCACATCTAGTGAAGTCATGAAGTATTTGGGAATGGTCATAGACCATCAGCAAGACTTCAGTTTACATATCAACTACTTGTTCAAATAATCTTATGGCTGATCATCTTGAGCAGTGCTGATGTTGAAAGCATGAAGCAGTTCCAATGCAATTGAGGACATTCTGTCTTACTGTATTATTTCTCTACTGTGTTCACATGTTTTGGCATGAGAAAGAAAGTAGCCAAAAATTTATATCCATTGCTTATGACAGCTGCCACACAGGATGCGCATAACCCCACAGGCGTTACAAAGGAGGGTGATTGAGCAAGTGCAAGCAACAGCCTTTTGGATTTGGAAAGAAGCATGTGATCCAAGCCACTATCTTTACAAGGTGACATCATCTGTGATCTCCAATGTAGGTACAACATGGATCAAAAGAAGACCAGTATTCCAGCAGAAAAGTAGTTATACCATGGGACACTTCTGTGGAGAATATAAAGTGGACATATTACAATACTGTAACATTTTCACCAGTGTGACTAGGATCATAGTGTCTAGTTTCCCTCCTTCTCTCCTTTTATTGTGTTGTGCGTATGTAAAGATTTTCTTGCCAACCTGAATCTACGGACAATAAGTATCAATTACTAAGAACAAGCCAATTTTTGGATCACATTTCTTAAAATATCATGGTTTTCTCGTTAAAAATTCACAGACATGGATTCACCTGCAATAGAAGTGATGAAAATCACATTGAGTTCTTGGACTCAATGGGTGTAGTGTATTTTGTCCTTTGCTACAATACATGAACCCAACAACCATGGGCCTCTACCCTTCATGTTACAATTCACATGACAGCACATGCAGGCTCAACATTTTCTTTAATACAGTATTGGGTTACTTCAAAACATTCATTGGCTGACAGGCAGGGAAAATAGGAAATGTAACTGATGGTGATCGATTGCAAGAGATATCTTCACTCTGGGAAGCACAGATCTTTTTTCTTTCAGTCATCACACAATACAACCATGATGTCCATTGACTATGTCTGCCTTTAACACCATAAATTGTAGAGGACACTCTGCATCACTAAAATGTTCATTTTATCACGAATATTAAGGGACTCATCTGTAGAGATAGTCAGCTTGAAGATTTGCAGCAATTTCAGCTTCCCATTTGTCCCCATTGTTGAGAAGCTTCTCCTTGTTATACATGAGCTCTTCGTGTGTCTCTGTTGAAAACTCAAAGTTTGGGCCCTGCAAGAATGCAAGAAAATCAGATCCAATTTCAAACTACCAAGTTGTTTCTTCAAATTATATTTCTTCTAGCGTCGTGATCTGTCAGATTCTGAGATATTTGGCAGGCAGACACACACATATATATATATAGGAGAAAAGTAATGAGATCCCAAAGCTGGCTAATCAAGAAAACCGACTCCAAAAGGTAAGATAATGGAATTTTAAAAGAGAAGAAAGGAAAGGAGCCTTTGGGATCTGAAAGAATAGCAGGATCCTCATCAGGGGCACGGTCCTGCTCAAACCTTCAGTGTAGAAAGATCTTTTTCGGTAATCCCACTAGAGCCAAAATAAGCTAGTAGAAAATGAAAGAGTATAACTGAAAGGCTGTTTTATTTATTAGCCAGCTTTGGGATCTCATTACTTTTCACCTACATTCAGTTGTGTTGTCAGCTGTGGTCGAGCTTCTCGCGCTCTGCTTCATTACTTAGAGCAATGTTGGGTAGTTTAGTGGTGTGGCGTTCTTTTGCGCCATTATATATACATATAATGTTGAGTCCTAGTTTATAAGAAAAGGGGCAAGGCTGAAGAAAGCTAAAAGAGGAAAGAGAGTGAAAAAAATATCCCAGAAACTGTCATGCAGCCTGCATCTGCAGGGGGTTGAGGCTACAAGCTTAACACAACACCCTATCCAGACCATTTCTGCTGTTAGGCACTGAAGCTTTGGAATTGAATGAGAAAGGCAGTACCAAGATTTTCAGAGGCACACCCAGCTTAAGTCCGTCGGCCAGCATCACTGTTAGTCATCAATTGGCTTGACCAGCCTTGTGACTGAAATTCATGACGAGAGACTGATCCCTAAGGGAAATAACCCAGCATGGCTTGGAATGACTCAGACCTATGCTGTAAAAAAAAAAACAGGGAGGTAGCCTGGGAAATGCAGGCCTACAAGGAAAGCATAAGGGGGCTGCCAAGAATTCAGCCAACAGTGTTCTGTGCTGACAGACTGGAGCAATGCCCAGATTGCCTCTGCTAAACTAGGCCTTTGCCTCAAGGCACATTAAGCTAAAGCCACCTAACCCAACCCCGACAACCTGGATAAGTGAATTCTTCGGATAAAGTCAAAAGTTATGGGAAAGAGCCCAATCACTGGTTGGTACAGGCACCATTGGTAATTCCTTTTCCTATCTGTGCACCTTGGTAGGAAGCAGGCAACTGCCCTACCAGGTAATCACTTAATAAGCCATCTTTTTATTAAACGTAGGACTCAACATTATATATACAAGAGATAATTTACTAGTTTTTTATGATCTGAATTATTTCAGGCAAAGTCTGACATTTCAGCCAATAAGGACATGTAACACTAATTTTAGCAAAAGACAGATTGTGAAGATTCTGTAACAGGTGACTCACTTCAACGATTGCATCCACTGGGCAAGCTTCTTGACAAAAGCCACAATAAATGCATTTTGTCATGTCAATGTCATAGCGAGTGGTACGTCTGCTCCCATCCGTTCGTTCTTCTGCTTCAATTGTGATGGCCTGTCAGTCCAAAGAAGTAATAAATGTATTCTCAAATGAAAAAAAGTCACCATTCACATAGTAGGGTTAACAGAGATGTGAGAGAGAAAATAGGTAATGACCTGTGCAGGGCATATTGCTTCACACAGCTTGCATGCAATGCACCTCTCCTCTCCTGATGGGTACCTCCTTAGTGCATGTTCCCCACGAAATCGGGGGCTAAGGGGTCCCTTTTCAAACGGGTAATTGATTGTTGCTGGCTCTTTGAATAAATGTGCCAATGTCAAGCCCAATCCTATAAAAACGGAGAATATTGCTAGATTAATTTTTTTCTGCAAAACAAAGACATTCATTCCACGATGAAAACATAAAATAAAATAAATTAGGTCTAAATATGACACATGTGCAAGATTTACTAAACTATGAAGCTCAAAAGCCATCTACATGAATTCACCTCTGCAAATTTCAACAAAGAACATGCGCTCAGCTCCACGATCTGTCATGTCTTTCCAAGCCATGCTTGGGTCTCCTGGGTTCACTTGCTTGTAGTTGGAGCGAATGGGGATGCGACTTGTCTCGTTGGGTCTCAGGAGGTGGCCATAAGCTGATACAGAGTAAAAAGAAAGCCAATATCAAGCAGGAGATCTCAATGGTTCCAAGACAGCAGTTACAGCCTGAATAGGTCAAGTCAATTTCCACTGGAGAGAGTCTGATAGCAAAGGAAGGGAACATATTGGGGATCATGCCATCAAAATCAGGAAAAGTGGTATCATGGAAACTGAGCAGACTTAATTCTTCAGCCTAGCCCAACCCTGTGCAAACTAGCCCATTGTAGGCACATAATACTTCAAAACATTCATATGAGTAGTCGAAAAGATGCAGTCCCAGGAAATCCAATTACACTACCCCAGACAAAAGTTGACAGCTGGACTTTAAAAAATTTTTTATCTGCTGAAGTCTCTAAACCTCTGACACTTTCGCCAAATGGACAAGCACCGTTGGGGAGCTTGTCCATTTGGCGAAAGCTTGTCCACTCCCACCAGTCCGAGTAACTTACAAGAAATAACGTCTCCTATACGCTTACAGACAATCGTAGGTGTGAGATCACATCCTTACCTGACCACGACGAGGCAAGCCCTGGGCCAAGGGGTGCAGGGGATCGCAAATGTCCAACTCGGAATCCAACAAGGCCTAGTCGGCCCGCCATCGTCCTACGAGTATAGGCCCCAATAAAGGCCTGGGATATGCTTAAACGATCAACCTCGACCCACTTATCAATGAGTAGCGGTTCGGCACTATGAACAGCCACTACGAGATCAGAAAATTGGCTGACAGACGTTCAAGATTTACGCGAATTGAGCTCTTACGGTCACTAAGTGATGGAGCAGTGCATACCCTCTTCAGGTATTCGCAAATTACATGCTTCAGCTTTCCCCGTCAGATGACAGACACTTCGCCTCGTTGTCATGGCAACTTCCTTCCTAGCAGTTCCATAGGAATGTGTGATCGAAGTCTAGCCCATCCAATCTTTGCCAAGGCTCATATTATGTTAGCATGCTCATGGCCTAACACTACTATTGCGTGTGTCAATCTCCAGGCAGGCCAAGGGCAGTCCCCGTCATAGATGTCTCAAGACGATATTGATCTAACGTGTGCAGAACTAGGTCCATTATCTAGCCTCCTGGCTTTTGAGCGCGTGATCCGCCACAACTCCTATGCATCGGCCTAAGCTATTCTGTAGGCGATTCAGCTGAAGGCTTGTGAACGCCTTACGTTGGCCTTAGGCTCTCCACAGGTTTTATTTTTCACAATTGAGTCCAACACTTTTTCTGCTTTGACCCGTGTTTACTATGAGTAGCAAAAGTGAAATGGTGTAACAGACAGGAGTGAAAAAACTACAATTTACCATTATTCTCTCGGTCTAGGCTTATTATTGGCTAGTTTCAGATCGTAGAAAGACTGGCCACTAGCAGTTGCCAATCGTTGGTTAAAACTGATTAGATGCTGTGGTAGGATTATTAAGAGATTAATTCATGGAGTTCTCGATGTGTATAAACATCTTGTAATCTGCAGGGTGTTGTTTGATTGCAGGTTTGATTGTAAAGCTGACAGTGGCCCTCCACCTTGAACTCTGCAAGGTAACCTGAGGGGAGAATCATGTTCAAGAACACATTCCAGAGTGGTTTCTTGTCCATCTTGTACAGCATTGGGAGCAAGCCTCTTCAAATCTGGGATAAGAAGGTGCGAAATGGACACATCAAGCGCATGACAGATAATGACATTCAGAGTTTGGTGATTGAGATCCTGGGCTCGAATGTGAGCACAACGTACATCACATGTCCTGCTGAACCAAAAAAGACGCTGGGTATCAAGCTTCCTTTCCTAGTCATGATTGTCAAGAACCTCAAGAAGTATTTCACCTTTGAGGTCCAGATCTTGGATGACAAGAATGTGCGAAGGCGTTTCCGTGCAAGCAACTACCAGTCGACGACCCGTGTGAAGCCATTTATCTGCACCATTCCAATGAGGATGGATGAAGGCTGGAATCAAATCCAGTTCAATCTTGCTGATTTCACCAAACGGGCATACGGCACCAACTATGTCGAAACTCTCCGGGTTCAGATCCATGCCAACTGTCGGATCAGACGGGTTTACTTCTCGGATCGTCTCTACTCCGAAGATGAGCTCCCGGCTGAATTCAAGCTCTATCTCCCTGTCTCCACCAAGGCAAAAGTTTGAAGGGAATTAATTTCCTATTTCAGCCCATTTTGATGGACTGTCCATTTCAGGGTGGAGTCACTTCGACTTTCACTCCTGAATTGCACTGCACCCAACACCACTCCTGTTTCATGTGATCTCAGATGTGCACTGATAATTGTGCTTTCAGTGTGCTTTACATTTGTGCTTTCTCTTGTTTTCAGTTGGCCTTGCACTGTGGGAATAAAGCAACAATTCCCTCAATTAAAAAATATTGATCTGCTTTCTTTCATTTTAGTGCCTCCATAGCTTCTAAGATGACAATCATCTGCTATTCCTTTCATTTTGAGGATTATGACACTTTTGTAATAGAAATATTAATGATGACACTGCCAATCCCCACTTTCCCTGCTGATTGGATTTAATACAGACTTATATCAACTTATTAATATCAGTAATTGTGCAGAAGTATAAGCTTTTTTACTCAGCTGAGACTGTGTCAATAATTCTAAATGAGTACACATTAATATGGTACTGAACTCTTGGTCCAAAAGCACCTATATCTTCCTGCCAGCAAACAACACCCTGTCGTATTCCCTCTGCAAATGCTAAGAGAAATATCTTACCATGTCTCCTGACAAGGAAGCAGTCCTATGAATTTCCTCCCCCCATTTCAGTAACCAGAAATACCTGCAATGGGGTTTGCAGAAGTAATGTTATTGTTTTTCCTCATTTAAATGTATTACTCAAAATATTGAGTACTGACAGGCACTGATTGGAAGAGGTCAACCTATTTTGGGAGATGTTAAGGTTTTCTTTTCGTGTTCTGCCGCTTGCCAATATTTTATATTATACTCGATTTTGAGGCTTGAAGTTCACGCTTTGCTTCGTAGTTATCAGATTTATAATAGCGTTTCGACTGATACGAATAATCAGGTTGTTTATAACGTTACGATTAGTCATGTAGTATTTAAATCAGAATCATGTATTTCACATCGGCGATGAAGGTGCTTCCCATTGCGACCATTTGGCCCAGTTTGGTGCAGTGAAAAATGCTCGCTACTTGGGATGAGATTCGAGGTCATCGATTATAACTGACAGCTAACAGAGAGGTTGCGTGTTCGTTCTGGACTGAATGAGGGATTTTCGAAGAATCCTCAGCACGGCAGAAGCGTCTTAATCTCTCTTTCGATCTGTTGGCTGGTTGAGAATTAACTTCCTAGAGTCAATCCGAACTCCAAGCTGATATTGAAGGTGCGCTTTAAAGACCAAGTTAACTAATACGCATGATTTATTGGACAGCCAATGGAGAAAAATATACTGTGAAGGGGAAAAGAAGTACTAAGGGAAAGCTGCTTCACGTTGGTAGAGACCGAAAGCGGATCTTGACCGAAAACCGGACGAATGCCAAACTGCGATAGCCCATTGTCGTACCCGACCGCTCGTTGTCTTACTCGACCGTCGACTGGACGCTACTGATTGGGACAGGCATGACGAGGGCGCCGAGAGGGCAAGTGGACGGCTACTGCCATTCGACGTGGGGACTGGGGGACTCCACATGATAATTAATAAGTAGGTTGAAGAGGTTTCCGGACTGGGAGGACTGTACCCAAAGTAGGCAGCCCAGGACATGAGATTTAGAGATTGAAATTACTTAATGCGCTTCTTGCATGCGAAGTCTGTGAAACCCCATTACGTCCAGACAGTGGCATGCCCAGAAAATCCTAATTTTGTTTGTTAGAATCGACCCAGTAAAATGTATCCCAAGGAGTGGGGGGGAATTATGGCCCCCAACTCCCCCCCCCCCCTTTGGGTACGCCATTGCTTAAAGAGTATCAAGTGTCATTTGTCACTCTGATGTCTGGCAGCGAACGTGTCACGATTCGACAACAGTTTGCGAATGTAACATTTCGCCAAAAATTAGGGAAAATTCTAACAGAGACTCTCACACTGTCGAAGGAAGCGTACGGGAACGATGCCACGTCGAGGTCTCAGGTGTTCGAGTGGTACCGACGTTTCTAGGAGGGGCAGGATTTTCTTGACGACGACGCACACGCGTCGCCAAAGGTGACGCAGTTCATGGCAGAATTGGGAACGATCGTCCTGCCATATCAGTTTCGCTCGATTTCGCTCTGTGCGATTTCTATCTGAAGAATGTTCTGAAAGGAAGGCACTAGCTAAAATGCGTGACGAGCCAGGGCCACTACTTTCAAGGATACACCAATTAAATTGCTCCAACCGCGACCAGTTATGCGAACCAGACCCAGTCCGGAAACCTTTTGAGCCTATTACGTATATGCTTCACTGGATGAACCATAGCAAAAAATAGGACACCACACACTGGTAAAGCATGCTTCATCTCGTTCAATTCCTTGAGCTCATAAGGGCATCATGGATGAAAATGTGGGGGTGGGTCAATCAAATGTAGCGTATATGATGCACACTTTGCAAGAACGTTACACCAGTGTGTGGCCAGACCAACTTTTCACTTCATATATATTTATATAACCATATTGGTTCCATTTGATCATATTGCCAAATTTCTTGAAATGACAGACACATCACAATGGGATAAAGTCCACCTCCTAAATAAAACAATAATCTCTTTATGTACACAAAACAGAACCATGACAATTCATTCAAGGGCTACACTTTCTTGGTCTCCAGAGAAATTAACTCAAATGGTGAAGTGAGTAAAAAAAAAAGCAACGATTTCAAAACTCTTCCGGAGTGTCACATGCAATTAGCAGGTGGTGCAGTGTCAATAAATTGAATATATAAAGATGAGGAATACTTGGATCACAAATAGGGGATTCACTTCAAAGAGAGAAGGCAAGCAATGCTATTTTAACTCAAACGTAATGGAGAAAATTGTATGATCCTTTGCATTTCAATACCTGCAGCAACTGCCTTCTCAAAGCATTTTGTTGCTCATCTGTCATAGAGCCAAATACATCAAGGAACAGAAGTATCACATCACATCTTTATTAATACATCTTTAAAAAATAATGCCAAATAATCTTTAATCTGATCACCAATCTCTCACAAGTCGTTCTGCAGAAATATCAATCAGAGTCATCTGCATGATCCTCTTCTTCGATCTCTGGCATCGGGTAACGAAGGATGGCAGCAACACCAGTCAACTGATCCAGCTCTGTTGTGGAAAGAGTTTCACATGAACCACTATGTCAAAATCTATGAGAGGTCACTTTAATGGCACTGCAACTCAAGAACAGTTTCTATTAATTTAAATTGAACTGTTGCATCATATAAAAATATTCTACACAGCTCAAGAACCCTTCCCAACTGCCTAAGCCATGCATGAAGAGCTGCAATTGAGGCATTATTTGCCTGACTGATGTGGAAAGTAGCAGTATCCTTGTTTTGTCTCAAGTTTAATTCCAGTTTTTGCTACCTTCACTCTAGGAAATAAGCAGAAATAGCAGGGAGCAATACCATGTGAATGAGGAGGGTGGGGAACTTCCAGAGTACTCATTTTCCTTCATGAAATGCTGTGATTTATGAGGTCTGTAAGCAGACACATTACCTAGGGGGAGATTTAACCCCAATAACTAAGGCCATTTCTCTCTTTTGCTCCTAAAGCAAAAATTCATCCACAAGTCAACTCCCCCTTGATGCCTGACCTTCTGGCTTGAGAACCTTGTAACCCCATGCAAAAGAAAGATAAATCTTCAGTCAACATCATCTTCTTACCAATCAACCAGGTTCTTACAATGATTGAATGAGAAGCTACCTTTCTACTCAAACCTGACTTCCCTGCTTAGGTCCAATCTCAAAAATAAAGAAACCAAGGACCATCACATGTAACATCACAAAGGCGATCAGGGCCATTGGGCTCAAACAGACACAGATATTCTTGTGCCATGTCTGCCTAATGACATTTATGTTTTCTGATACTGTCCCTTCATGAAAGGGCTTACATTTTAAGCAGGGCAAATTGACTGGTGGCAAATATTACTTTCAAGATATGATGTACTGGCACCTTTAACTCAATATTATTTTCCTCTGAAAGTTTGCATGATAAAAAACTAACATTGCACTTCCTCTTGGGTGAAGTTTGAGACTTACAGAAATGTATGATTACAGGTCACATTTCCCCATATTTATGAAATAACCAAGCAATAAAAAAATAGTTGAAATCCTAGGGGATTTTGAAATGATACGATTTCAGATCAAGGGAGCTGATTCTACCCTTTCCAATGATATACCATATAACACCCCAAAATATTCAATGAATTGAATGCAAGCTGATACCTGATAAACAGCTTCATCTGATACTGGTAACATGGGTCAATATATGAAACTAATAAAATAATGTTGAAGCCATAACTTAAGAAAAATTGTTACAGGAATGAGACTTATAGATTCCTCTTAAAAATGACTTATCTTAGCAAGAACTTTGAACATAGACAGATGATGAAGCAATAATTATGCATCCCAGGCAGAGGTAGTCATACTGCTGCATACACTTTCATGTTCAAGTACAGGAACCACTTTCAATATGCAACTCCTATTCTAGCACTTCAAATAAGAAATAATGAATGGAAGAGAATGTACGTTCTCCAGAAGGATGTAGGCTTGAGAAGATCTTGACTGTTCCTCCATATTCTCTTACACCATCCACCAGGGCAACACAACGTTTCCTTTCTGTCAAGTCCTTTGACCTGGAATTGGAATAATTTACGTCATAAAGTGGAAAAATGAACTTGAAACATGCAAAGGTTCCCACCTGAAGAGTGTGTCAGTGATAAGGAGTGTCTCAACAGCCTGTGCCTGATGAGCTACCTCCACATGCTTGAGCCCATAATAGGCTCTTGCAGGCTCATTCTGAAGAAGGGAATAAAAACTATCCAATACTTTCACCTCTCCAGCTGCTTTTGTATCTGCCAGCTTGCTCTGCACTGAAGGATCTGACAGAACCTCTGACACACAAAAAAAAACTTTCATGTGCCTCCTTTTATTCCTTTTGCTGCATGCAAAACAGATAAAACATCTACCTCTCAGGGAATGTTTGAATCCACTTGATGAATGAAGGAGGAGGAACTTATTCTTGTTTTCAAGTAGCTGCTTGTTGTCTGTCTTCAGGGCTTGCTGCATCATGAATTCGAAAAATTGGTCCCTCACAAACCCTGGGCTTGCAACCAGAACGCACTTCACAACATCAAAATTCACATGTCTCAAGATGGCCTGCATGACATTCTCATAAAACCGATGCAACCCCTGTAATCAAGAAGAAGCTGTTACCAAAAGGTCTGATCATTGAAGTGACTGATAGGCTTTTCTGCTGAACAAATGAACTTTGTGGACCTTTTCGTGCTGAGCAGCGTTGCCCTTGCGTTTTCGAGGGACAGTGTTCTCAATTTTGGCCCTTACCAAGGTCATACTGGATGTTACCAAACATACATGGGCCAGGCCCTCTTGCATGACTACTGCTGCCAGATCTGCATTCTGAAAAAGTCAGAGTTACATTTAAGAATTGTAGTTAACTCATTGCTTTCATACCTCAAGTTGTTTTGTGACATCTGCATTAAAAAAAAACCTTTTAAAACAAAGTGTGTCTTGCTGATCTAACACAAATATGAGATTATTTGTGAACTGCTTGACAGAAAAATCAAGCAATCAAAGTTCTCATCACTCATTATCCCCTCAGTATCTAGGAAGGAAATATAAAACTCTAAAGAAGAAGGAGGATATCTAGGTAACTACCTAGGTAGCACCACCAAGTGCACATTTCATGTCATGAGTTGAAATTCCCTCAAGTACCAGCCAATGGTACCATGAGACATAACCATGATTACATAAGAATACAAAAACTACTAAGTGCAATTAAATAGACACCATACCTGTAACTCTTCAGATCATCAGAGCTATTACACAAAACTCAAATGATGTGTGAGACAAGGTAAAGCAATGCTACAACAAAACCAAGCTTTTCTTCTGCTGGGTTTCACTTCTTAGTCCAACCTAAAAGCAAGGAGCAATGGAAGCACTCTATCTTTGCATTAGTCTGTTATTTTCTGGAAGTTCATAAGTGAAAAATCTGCTGCACAGAAATGTAGCACTTCTCCAAATCATGTACAGAGCCATGTACATGTACCAGCATCATCATGAATGTACAATCATGTAGATCCACAATGATTAAATATAGAATTAGCCAATTAGCAAGAGCATGGGGTTTTGAGTTAGCTGGGAGTCTATTTCATTGCAAGCTAGTTTCCTAGGTCAAGCCTCCTTTCTCGTGTTGTACTATCCTGTCTTATTGCATGACATGGGTAACTAAAAAAGCTTGGAACAGAGTACCTGAGTGGGATCACAAGCCATTTCTACTCGTTCCAAAAACACTGAATCCCAGTGTGCTTTTCCAAGTGTGAATTTCCTGTTTGGTTCCAGGTCCAATGTATGATATGCACCCATCTGGAAAAGAAATTGGAACAAAGAACTCAATTTTGTTTCATGAGCAACCATGCTGACACATCTGAAATGACAACCAGCAACAAAAAAAAACTTTACTTAGGTTTTTAATACCAGTTCATTGAGATTAACATTAACATGGCTATACAAATGCATTGAAAAACATTGGCATCAGCTGCCAGTATGACATCACCAGTGTCACCAATCATTGTAATGTTTCCAGGCTGCCAATGCTCAAAAGAAGGTGTCAAACAAACAAGAATAACAAAAATGCAAATGCAACTTTGTAAATAATTCAACTGCAAATAATTCAATGGCAATAGGATAAATGAAGAGCTGTCATGATGCATTGATGGTTTCACAACAAATGACGATGGTCACATCTTCCCTCAACAATGCATCAACACACCATCATTAGCTTTGGAAGGTACATTTGATGCTGTAAAAACAGCTGTCAGTAATGACAGACCTGAGGAAAAGTAGAACATGGCTTTCTGATAGGCTTATTTGAACAAGTTTTTTATATCTTGATTTTTCACTAAAATATCACACTCTGCACTAGCACCCCCTGATAGGAATGAGTTCTTAATCAGCAATCAGCCCATCAACCAAATGTGGGCATTGGTATTGCTCCAATTGTTAACCACTGAGTGCAGTGCTGCTGTTTTTTCAGCTAGGTGTACTCCTAAAAATCCCAAAGGCCAATTTATTGGCCATGGCTTTTCATTGGGTTTCTTCCATCATGCAATTGGGGTTCTTATTGATAGATGACATTTAAAAAAAGGCCTACAGCATTTTGGAAGTGGTGGACATAGCTACAAAATAGTCTGCATGGCACCCAAAGGTTTAAACTACCCATACAAGTTGGATGAGAAACACTGTTAATTTTCGGCAGATATCTTCATGGCTTTCTGCCAGCAGCATTAAAGTTTATAACTCCTATTGGGTACTTGATGCTATGTTGTTGGATGACCAAGAAGGAATCAGCAGTAAAAACAGAGGAGAAAATTATATATCACAAGAAATAAATTACTAATCAAGGAGTAATAGGTCAAAGTTGAACTCAGGCTCTCATGCTTGGTATGCCTCCATGTGATGCAACTGTTTCAGCAATGATGTAAACTTCTATGAATTGCACTGATAAAATTTCTCTAACTGTCAAAATTAACCAAAAGACAGTAAAGTACCATACAGATTAAAGTTTCAGAAAAAGGAAAGTGAGAATAGACCATAGCAAGTAATCTCACCTTCACATATGGGTTTTCAGCAATGTTTCGTCCCTTAAGGCGAAGAACACAGGCCTGGGTATCAAAATCAGTGCTTACTACACATACAGTGAGTGTAGTTCGAATCCGGTTGCTTTGGGAGGACCCTGTTGCAGTCTCTGTTTGTACCTTTCTGGAATATCCAACATGACAAATCATTACTTTACAACGAACAAAATAAAAATTATACTAGAGTACAATAATTTGGAAACAGAACATTAGTCTCTCAGGCAAACAAATTGGTAAACAATTTGCTTTGCTGAAACAAACACAAAATTGATATCAAGGAAGGGCTTGGCATATCATGGGAGTAAAATTGTATGCTTTGTCTCAATGCCCTGGAATCTATCAGTTCTTGATTTGAATGCTCTCAACATAAGTATTTTCAAGAAGAGGATCTGGATACTTTGGCATTTATAAATGACACTTCAAGGCTTTTAAACTACAGGGTGGCCCAGAAGTAATAGGGCAGTTAGTGGTACAATCAGCAGTCACTACAATTTTATTATAATTTTATAACTTATTATTATTATTTTGATTATAAGTTGATTTTTATTTTAATTTCAGTATCACTGATCATAAAGTAAAATAAAAATTTTTAGTGACTGCTGATTGTACCACTAACTGCCCTATTACTTCTGGGCCACCCTGTATATTCATTGTTGGAACTGAACACAAGGAAGGTGTCAGTTTGTCAATCTTGTGATGATGATGAGTGTTCCAGTCTACCACAATTTAAATACTACATAACCCATTCACTATAGAAGTCAGAATCTCTGAACAGGAAATGTTTAGTAGGTGTCATATTCACCAGACTCATGAGTGTCTTTTGTAATAGCAAGTAACTCACATCAATGGGGTATATCCTGCACTCACTTTTATACTGACATATTTTCTGTTACTATCTAGCTCCCTTTGGTCCATCTCATTTGCATTGAAGAGTATTGAACTCTATTGTTAATTTCTGAGGAATCTAGCATCTCCCCCATCTATACACAAGTATAAAAGAAGAGATGAGACCTGATGGTAGAGCCCTTGACACTGTCTCCTTCACTGATGAGGTTGTATGCATGCCAAATATCCTCAGGGTCATCTGGCATAAGGGTCACCTCCCTGCAGAATGCATAATAAAACCCATACTATTAAAGGACATTACATTGATATACTTTGCTCAGTAGCATCTCTTAAGTGCAGCCTAATGGTATGCCCCATGACATGAAGGCTTCTTCAATTGAGTCTCACAACAAATACATACTGCATCACACTCTAAAATCACCAGAAAATTAGTTGGGGTTCAACAAGCATCTTCCATTTGCAGTTGACCAATGCTCAAAGAAACAGCACTGAATCCTTCAGTTCCATCTTTAGGATCTTCGACTCTGCTGTTTTTCCTGAATTCCACTGTTTTTGAAAAGAAATCTAAACACTTTCTTACATTCATGACTCCCCTAACTAATTCCTGTTTTTTTTTTAAAAACAAAATTCAGAAGTCTTCTCAAATTCCTTCGTGAAGTATAAAACCCTCATTTCTAATAAAAAATATTACTCAGTAGTTGATAGTATTGCTGATGCTTTCTCAATTGATCAAGACATCCCTGGCTCCTTTTGAGCTGTGCATACTGTTGGTCCTGTATGTCAAAAGATTTTAAGATGCCAGCAGTTATCTGTGGCTTCTGGAAGATTCATACTCATAGATATGTCTTTCATATATGCAGAGCAGCAACTGCAGGAAATGTTCAGAAATTGTAGCATGTTCTATTCAGTTTGGCTGAGCTATATACAACAAGTTTTTGTACCAAAATTCAAATTATATGTGAATAAAACTTCATTATCCATTCCCAAGAGAAGATTAAGTCATAATAACTTCTGGCAGTGTTTATTGTGCCAGTGATAAAATTAGATCAGATATGCTGGAGAATATGCAATTGATGGCACTATTATGTTAACTTTGGAATCTGGTGCCACTAGAAGGGTTGGTTTAATCCTGTATTGAATGACAGCCTGAGATCTTCTGTATAATCTGTATTGTTCTTAAGACAAACCAAAGTGTATTACTAGCTTGATACTCATCTCAAAATGGTTTTGTTTTGCAAATAGCAATTGAGGATCACGTAGTGAGAAACTTTTCCCTTCTGTCATCTTCTCCTCATCTCTGTAAATAGCTTCCAGTATTCCAATTTTCTCTCTTCAGAATAGTGATCTTCAGTATCATGTATGCTATTTGCAAGCTCTATTTTTTAAAAATCAATATGCACTATTCACCAACTTATTTTTTAGGAAGGGAATCTGTAACCAAAGGAGCTTCATAGCTCTCAAGATAGAGGTTGATACATACAATAGTATGATACAATTGCATAATTCATGGAGCGAATTTTGCAAAAAGATTTCATAAAAAAAAAGATTTCATGCTCACGTCGACTACCTGTTCTATTGACTGACAACTTTCTAAACGCAGGCTCTGAATGGACCTTTTAGGTCCACCTGATCACCGCCAGATTTAACGAGTGAAAGTAGTTGAGCTTGTTAGGATGAAGTCATACATTCAGTCCATCAACTGGGCTAGGCAGCCTAGACACACTCACGATAGGCCTATATACGCCGAGGAATGAGCGAGGCCACCTCACCCCTTGCCATCCTTATCGATGTTCCTATGGATGAGCTTCATAATGCGGAGCGATTGGGTAAAGCCAGTGACGGACAAGGCCTGTTAGGTGGAACGTAGGTATTTCACAGGAGTAGTGGCTCATTGAAATTAAGCCACTGGCTCAATGGATATGTTTTCATGGGAACCCACGAGGCTAAAATAAAAGATCTGACCGTGGCGAACTTGGCTTAATTGTGGCGCTCATCAACAACATGGGTCGGTGCACAGCGCAGCGCAGGTCCATGATGGGCCCATGACGGAATGGTGGAAAGTTCATGACGTAAAGAAATGAAAACAGGGATGCTGAAAATCCGATACAAGACACAATAAACCTAACCTGTCTCAACCATCAATTTTAACAGGTATTAAAGAGATCGATACTTTTTATTCTACTTTTAAAATTCATTATGGCATAGGTTTCGTTTAGGGTTAAGTGCTAAAATGATTTTGACCGAAACGAAAAGGGATATGCCAACGAAAGGTTGAGGCGCAGGCGCCCCGAAGCTGTAGCAGCAATGGACGAGCAGCAGGGATTGTCCTAGAACTGAGGTCCCGATTCCTGAGCTATCACAGGCCTACGTGGTGTGAGTCATCCCCGTTAATCTGCGATTCCTTTCGTGTTTCTCTTCCATTCATTTCCTTTCTTGATCGGTGTTAGTTGTGGACTTTCACCATATACTTCATCGTTTTTTTTTACGCAGGATGTAACAAAAATTCTTTAACGTGAGACGTTGGCCTAGCCTATTGTCTTCTTGACAATGTAGCCCGAGATCATCAGCTACCGTCGGCGTAGGCCGTAGTTCGCTATATCACTCCCTTTCCACCCACCTTCCCCCCTTCTATTTTGTCTCTGCGTGCCGTTGTATCTCCCAACAATCCTGGTGAGGCCTATGCTAACACTGAAATGAATTTTTCCACGGCAAGAGGTAACAGGGTAACGGAGACAATGGATCAAGAAGAAAAATCTGACTGGGTCTGTTGGTTGAAAATTCAAGTGTTTGAGAAATGACAGGCAGAACAAAAGAGAAAAAAAAGGATAAGAAATTATGGTAAAGGAAGGTACAGTGAAACAATAATCGTGAAGGAAGAGTAGCATCAAGGAGAAGAGCTAGTACTTTGCTTATCGTTACCCTATGTCTCACCCCACTTCAGTATAGGCCTGCTTTCTTATATCAGTCTATTGGAATGAACAAGAAGGAATGCCTTTGTAAGGGTATATCTCAGCCCATGAAATGGACAACAGTCTCTTGTAAAGATTCCTGGTGAAGTAGATAATTGGATTGGTTCAGTATTCAGCTGTGAGGGGGTGTGCCTTTTCATAAGGCACTCAAAAGCATACTGGCAGCTTCAGAAGTTCAGTCTTACATGGATTCATAATTCATAATTCAACTTTTTCCTGAAGTAGAAATGATTAGGAATGAATTCAGTAACATGAACACAAATTCTTTGTTGAATATATCATTAATGAAAAAAAAAGATTTTATAAATCTTTCTTCCTTTTTCGTGTTACTCTAAGGTATTTCCACCTTTACACTCAGGAAGTAAAAAAAAGAATTGATTGGTTGATTAATTTTACTAAGAGTATTTAGAAAGTAACCAAGTATAGGAAGTTAATGGCTTCTAGGAATTTTACGCAGTTAAAAGATCTCTCTCTGAGTATGATACAGTTCTAGCACCCCCTGATTGTCAGCATCATGAAATTTGAAGGAAATCTTTTATCATTTAAAAGAAATATAGCAAGATAAACAATGCCAACCAGATTATCATGTCAGTGAAAACAATGAACTTATATTGAAGAATGACACCCTTTACCCTTAGCCCTTGAAGGTCCAAGGAGATTGAAGTGGTGGTTGAAGTGAAGGGACGGTGGGTTGAAGCACCTTCTCCCTCCCATTGAATCTCCCTCGATCCGAGGGTTAAGTATAAATCTCCAGTTAGGTTGCCCTTGCCATAGATGGCTTTCCATTATATATATATATTTAGGATAAACATGAAATCCATATTGGTATCTAGGATGATGATGTGTCTCAAAAACTATGAAAGGTATATATGAAAATAATCCACAATGAAACAAGTAGGTGGTGCTGTTACAGTCATTGTTCATTATAACTCTCATGCCAATCAGTGATGACATACAAGCAAGGAATGATATTTGAAATGATGATGCATACCCCTCAAGGAATTTTGTGCCCTTGCTACCATTTTAGAACCCGTTGAGATTGTCGAATCTCAGACCATGTGATTATTGGTTTTGAGAGTTCTTAAGGATGCTTGTGTACTGTTATAAGCCCAACAATGATTTTAGATCTATAGGCTGTGAAATGGTTGGAAATGCATGCAGGTCCATTAGAGATATACACTGCATTTTCATCAGTCCTTACATATTACATTGATTAGCCTGAGGGCCATATTAACAATCAGTAATGTCACCTTCTACATGATCTTTGTTTTGGAATCCCATCATACCTTGCACCTCTGGCAAAGTTTTCAGTCCCTTTTAGCATCTTAGACAGGTCATAGCTATGATACTCCTCCTTTTCCAGATCACCAGGTATGAAGGATAGGAAAGGTTACCCGTAGATATCAAGGATATGCACTCATGATTCATTTGGTATTTGTTTTTTCTTTAAAAAAAAAGTATGTAGTGAATAATGTGAGAGGTTTTACAGATGAATGAGACTTGATTTAATATTAAGATTTTAGGATATGTTCACATGGTCTGTTGTAGAATGTATAGAGTTTGTCATTGTCCATTTGGGAAGTTTGAGCTTTTAGTGTTACTTATCTGAGAAAGGAGGATATAGTATCTTAGTTAACAGGTAGTAAATAATAAGAACAATATTGTGAAAACAAGCTGAGCTGGGTATGATTGAAGAAAATATTGCTTTGGTAGTATGTCCAATAATAAAAGGTATAGCAATGACATGATATATTACCCTTCGTTCATGGATTAGAATAGGCCTGAGTAGTTGCTGAATTTGAGACAGGAAAAGGAGTGCCAAGAATTGTTGTTTGCTTTCTCTGTCCCAATGCTTGACTATATTTTGTGATATTGGTCATGAGTAAACATCCATTGAAAAATTTAATGTTTCTGAAGCCAATATTTCAGTGGACTGTGAAGTGCCTAGTTTATTACATGGCCTGTGGCTTAACATATTGACTCAAGGCATATATGTGCAATGGACAAGCTGTAATATCTTGCAGTAGGAGCTAAAGTGGGATGCATGGGAAAATTGAGCATGAAAGGAATTGTGATTGTTGTCATATCTTGGGATAATTTTCAAATCAAATAAGCCTGATTTTTATTAGATTTCTGAATTCTATTTTCGCAGATTGACTTAATGGAGCCACCTTCACATTGGACGAATTTTCCTCTTTTGAGTTTCCTTTCTTCCCCTTAATATTATGATGTCTTGAAGCTTTCATGAGGGGACCCTCTATTTTTGGCATCAGCCAGTCACCTTCACATCCAAGTTTTCACACGTCTTCCTTCAAATTTCCAAGTGGCTTCGGCGGTCATGCCCAATGCTCCGAGGTAAGAAAAAAAAAGTTTTTATTTATTTCTTGAAAAGGGGTGTTTTGGCTATGCATATTCTTACATGATTGATGAATTTCTGTGAAGGCCTGGGAGCCTTCGTGACCCAGGTGTAGCTGAACTCTTTGACCATGATGATCCTGAAAAGATCTTCGAGGATCTACGTGAGATTGGCCATGGCAGCTTTGGTGCTGTGTATTATGCCCGCAACGTGGTCACAAAGGAGATTGTGGCTATCAAAAAGATGTCGTATGTTGGAAAACAGAGTCAGGAGAAGTGGCAGGATATATTGAAGGAAATTCAATTCATAGAGCAGTTAAATCATCGCAACTGCATCAATTATAAGGGATGCTACCTCAAAGAGCATACTGTTTGGGTGAGTGGCTATCAGTCTTCCACCTATCTCCTTTTTTTATAGCATGTAGATCATAAGGAACTGTCTGTTAATTGATTGAAAATGCGTCATGGCTTTAAGAAGAATAATTAGTTTCAAACCTCTTACTGATTCTGTATATAGCAATGCAAAAATTAATAGGGTTTTGAATGTTTTAGCTTCTTTAAAAAAATATATATTAATAGGATTTAAAGAAGTGGCAGTCATAAATGAACTTCAGAATATTTCATTTGTCTTTCTCTTCCTAGTTGGTGATGGAATATTGTCTAGGCTCTGCATCTGACATCCTTGAAGTCCATAAGCGTCCCCTGAAGGAAGATGAGATCAGTGCCATTTGCCAAGATGTGCTTCAGGGCCTGGAATACCTCCACGCCAATGTGAGGATCCACCGTGACATCAAGGCTGGAAACATCCTGCTCACCGAGAGTGGGCTTGTGAAGCTTGCTGACTTTGGTTCAGCTAGCATCCGCTGCCCTGCCAATAGTTTTGTTGGAACACCTTACTGGATGGCTCCTGAAGTGATTCTGGCCATGGATGAGGGCCAGTATGATGGACGGGTGGATGTCTGGTCCCTCGGGATCACATGCATTGAGCTTGCCGAACGGAAGCCCCCCTACTTTAATATGAATGCAATGAGTGCCTTGTACCACATCGCCCAGAACGATAGTCCATCACTGGCATCAGGTGAATGGAGTGGTGTTTTCCGCAATTTTGTGGACACCTGTTTGCAGAAGGAACCCAGGGATCGACCAACAGCCAGTCAACTTCTGGGCCATGGGTTTGTTCGACGTCCACGTGCGCCAAATGTGATCTTAGACCTCATTCAAAGGACTAAAGTGGCTGTCCGGGACCTGGACAATCTGAACTATCGCAAAATGAAGAAGATCCTCATGGTGGATGCATTTGAGAATGATAGCAATGTTGGGGAGGTAGAAGCAGGTCAGTCTCTTCCTCTGGTTTTATGACTAAGCATGTTGCCCTACTAGACAATTTAACCCTTTTAAGACATGCATTTTTATTTAGTAGTTTAATGCAAATTTAGCTAAATGCAGCTGCTGCTAACTGTCATAGAGTTTAACTTGTGTTCTCTTTATGCAAAGGGTTCAAGAAGTCAAATGTTATATGCTTTATGAGGCAACCCTTGAGCTGCAGATCTCAACCACTGTTCCGCAGGCTAAAACTGTACCGCAAAAGGCGGTTAAAAGTTCTGACCACTCTGACTGAAAGGGCTAATGTGGCCTTATGTTTGTTCTGTCCTGCCTCTGGATTTCACTCCATTTTAATTGGAATTTTGTGCTTTTCAGTAATATTTTATTTTGGTGTGATTCTTTGAAGTAGATTCAGCCGAGGATGAGACCCAACGGGATGACAGCAGCAAGAGCAATAGCCTGACATCAGAGACTAGCTGTGGCATCAGCTCACAGAACAGCTCCACCAATAGCATACCCCCTAATCAACAGCATGATGATGGCTACCCAGGTGTCTACCGAAGGGTATGAAGATGCCTATGTTACTTCACATAAAAAATCTGTTTTTTTTATTTATAGATGCTCAGGAAGCTATGACAGGAAGAAAACATAAGAGAGATAAAGAGAGACAGACAGGGAAACCTGGCATTTTTTTAGATAAGAGAGGAATGTGGGCGCATGGCCTCATCCTCTAAAGGGACCTTGTTTGTTGAGTCACCTTGATTTCTTATCTCTCTCTCTCTCTCTCTCTCTCTCATTTCTTATCTCTCTCTCTTTCCTCTGGGGGGAGGGGGGAAAAAAAGAGGGTAGGATCAGGGGTTCTTGTTTGATTGTCTAAACTATTGCCAGATCTGATGGCTGTATATGCTTGGAGTTACCAAGTCTGGAGTCTAATGAATGATGTCCCTAATAATCAGATACTTTTTTTTCCTTCCTATTTTCTGATGATATGGGTCATGAAGATTTGAAACATACCTGAAAATGCCACTGCTACATATATAATGAAACTATCTTGTCATGAGAAATAACAGCTGATGGTCAACTTTTTCTCCTAAGAGAGGAGAAATTGATGAGCTATATCTCATGCTCCTTTTTTTTTCCTCTCTTTTTCCTTTTCTGGCCACTGTGGGGGGAGGGGACATCTCATGGAATGGTATGAAGGGTTTGCCTGTTGTATAAAAAATAAATCAATATTTTTTGTATTCACACTCACAATTCCCTGGATTAAGGGTTACAATGTTTTAAACTAGGCATACTCTGCACTGATCCCTCAGTGCAAGTTTCTCTGTCTTAGAGACTTATTCATATGATGTGGATGCTTCCTTAAAGCTAATGCCTTAGAGTTTCTTGGATCATCTAAATTTTTTTTGTCAAATGCTGCATCAATTTCTAAGTAATGCCCATTACCTTTAACCTTGAATGACATTGAACTTTTTCCCATCCTGTGAGAACTTGGTGAATGTACTGTAGCTTCTTGATGCTTGACTTGTCTATTCATAATTCTTATGCTTTTTCTCATTTTTAAGTCCAAAATAATATAGGAACATTGAGATCCTTGGATTGTGATATCTGTCCTTTGTGTCAGACATTTAGAGACAGTTACTAGAGTACTCAGCTGCATCCCTTCTGAATAGACCTGTTAAAATTTTGTTTAAAATTTGATGTTAAAATCTCAATATTTTCAAAGATAGCTTTTTCAGATTTATGCTGGATGCAGTGAGATAATACTATCAGTAGTGCTGAATTGTGATTCCAATCTGTGCTAACTGGAACAGACTTGGTTTGTAACATTTTCAGTATGAGATCTTTTATCATTGGATGCAGAAGGGAACCAGTGGGAGCAACAGCCTGAATGATGGAACAGTTGGTGCCGTAAACAATTTTGCCACCCTGCGCACCATGTCTATGGTGAACAAGGAACACAAGGAGCACCGACAGGAGGAGCATAGGGAGCAGCTGTCAGTGTACAAGCGCATGCGCAAGGAGCACCAGGGTGCCCTACTCAAACTGGAGGAGCGGTGCCGACTAGAGATGGAGCAGCATAAGAACTCCCTGGACAAGGAGTATGAGGCCCTTCTTCAGCAGTTCAGCAAGGAGCTCGAAAGGCTTCAGATTAGGCATCAGAATGAGCTTGAACGACGAGTCAAAATGGTCTGTTTTCTCTGTCTCAGTTGTTTCAACAAAAATCTCCATGAAGCTTTTGAAAATATAAGCATACTTTTTGTAAACTTTGACCTGTGAAGTCACTAAAAAGCCTAAAATGTTGAGGTGTAAAAGTAAAATATAGATGAAAGATGGAAAACTCAATGAGTGTAACACTGGATATGAATGATAAGCTCATATAAAATTTGAATGTGGTCAATATCTAAACTTCTGATGGCCTAATTACAGAATTCCTCTCAAGAGCGGAAGCTGTCAAAGATGATCAATGAGAAGCAAGATCTTGAGAAAAAGTCTTTCCAGACACAATCCAAGAAGGATTATAAGCAGAACAAAGAACGGTGGAAGAAGGAGGTCTACGATGATGAATCCACTCCCAAGAAACACAAGGATGCCACTTTCCAATCCCATAAGGAGAACCTAAAGCAGCTTGAGGCTGCACGGCATCAGAGCCTTCAACAGGTGAGTTGTAAATCATTTTCAAGCATCCTAGAATATATATTATCAGCAGATTCTTAGTTGTTATTATAGATTTTCAATTAAAGTAACCAACTGAAAAGTAATTTCATAATGAAATTGGAAAATTTGGCTTGTCTGAAGGGAGCCTCAGTTACTCATTGTGTTTCACCAAATAATTCATAATTTAAATAGAGTTTATTGGTAGTACAATGTGAAATACTTGATGCTGATGAATTCCCTATCTGCCAAATGCAGTTCTGACAAGGTCACATGATCTGTCTTCAAGCCTACAATATTTTAACTTGGTGGGTCGCTTGACTGTTATTACCCATCTAGTCCTATTTACATGCTTGTTATGCAGACACACCGTGATTACCTGGAGCTGGAAGTGCGCCGATTCCGTCGTCGTCGCCTCTTAGAATATCACAAGGTCCAGCAAGACCTGCTGCGTGAGGAGCTGAGCAAGAGGCAGGCTCAGCTGGAGGAAGCCCACAAGATGCTATTGAGGCATCACAGTGTGACCCAGTCCTTGGAAACCAAGCAGCAGGTAGCTGTACACTCACTGAAGGAGGAGCAGCTCAAGCGGCAACATAAAACCGAGCTACAGAACCAGGAGGAGTACATGATACGGGCTCTGCGTGACCTCCGGAAAAAGCATGCTCTACAGATCAAACAGCAGCCCAAGAGCCTCAAGGTACAAAACCAGGATTCCCTTATTTCAACTGTTATTTTATTCAGATAATTCATTATTTATGAGTTCAACATATTAGAGTTTTTATGTTTTCTGTCATTGAGCCTATTGGTTTTGATGATTTCTTCTTTTTCTATGGTACTTCTTTACTTATGTTCTCTGTATTTTTACTTGAAGTTTGAAAATTTTGGGTTCAATATCTTAGACTTAACAAAAAAAAATAGCTATTCTTAATCAGCTTCATGAGTCTCATGAACATCTCAAACTTGATAATACAGCAAAAGGAGCTACAGATCCGGCGGCAGTTCCGTGAGACTTGCAAGATCCAGACGAAGCAGTACAAGGCATTGAAGGCACAAGTCCTGGCAACCACACCCAAAGAGCAGCAAAAGAACGTCATCAAAGCCATGAAGGAGGAACAGCGCCGAAAGCTGGCTGCTCTTGGTGAGCAGTATGAGCAGTCCATCGCCGAGATGCTCCAGAAGCAGTCCATTCGGCTTGATGAGAGCCACGACATGGAGGCCAGGGAACTGCAGGAAAGCCTCGAGCGAGAGAGGGAACTTCTTCTTGCCTACCAGTCACGTAATCGCATGTCCTTCGAGAGCCAGGAGAACCGGGAAAGGGCCGAGCTCCAGGAACGAGTCTCTGTTCGCCGAGCACTCCTCGAACAAAAGGTTGGCAATAGCAGCCTGTGGTTCATGCTTAGCTTGAAATTGTTTCCTTTTCTTAGTAGGGAAGCTCTTTTCATAAGGATATTTTAAGAAACATTTTTCTTGCTTATGTGAGAAAGCTCAGAGAGCCTGTTTTCATAATGGAGGCATCATATTTTACTCTACTAAAGTCTGGATCCCAAAAGAAAATCCTTGAAGCAGGCAAGCCAATGCTCCAAATGGCACAGTCTGCTCGATAGATGCAGAATCCCCCCCTCTCTCTCTCTCCAGGGGGTGAGAAGGGGTTTATTTCCATGGGGGAAGGGTACAAGCCAAAGAAATGAGGTTAGAGGGGGAGCGCGCTGGGTGGCAGAAACTCTCATCTCACTTATAAATTATTCTTTTCATCTCCCCAATTCCTTCATCTCTGTTGCCTTCTCCTTCCCTCTGATGACATGCATACTTAATTACATACATTTTCAAAACCACTTGTCTCCAAAACTGATGAAGTTGCGGCGCAAACAAGTCTAGGAGCATCCTCATCGGTCTCGAGCTCCACTGGTGGTATACCGAGCCTCGAGTGACGAAGGTTCGAGATGTAATTCGTCCACCTTGCCCGGGATCTACCGACTTGTCTTTTGCCGGTAGTTTAAGATTGGGAGTCTCTAGACTCAGGGGTGCCCAAAGTGCGGCCCGCGGACCGCATCCAGCACACAAAGTGCCTTAGAGAACATCCACTTTGGGCACCCCCTGCTCTTGAGGCATGCGGAGGATCTCTCGATTCGAATGCGTAACTGCTTGACTAAGAGTTTCTCGCGGATGGCAGCACTTAGTTTCCTTTCGCATGCATGGCCTGGCACCGGCCACGCGCCGTAAGAACCTCATCGTGGCTAAATTGCGGAAGCCCTGGATAATACGGCCGTCGTTCTCTCGTTTCTGTAACGCCGTGGCTCGAGAACCATACCCCATGGTATTTAAACATTTCCACCTGTTCCATTGGGGCAACCCTAATACGTACAGGACTTCACGAGAGGGCCATAACCTGCGTTTTGGGGACGTTCGATTTTGTTCGTTTTTGCAGTTCCGAGTCGAACCGATCGAACATGCCCTAAGCTCCTGTCGAGACCGGGCCAAAAGGACGGCATTGTCGGGAAAGAGTATATTGTAGATGTGATCGATACCACTGATGCAGCCCTTCGAGACCCTGGCCACGCTTACCGATTCTATTCGTGTGTACAGGTCCGCCCAGAGGTTTACAGAGGCCTTGGGCAAAACAAAATCGTAGGCTCCCTTGAGGCCCTTTAGAGGGCCCCTTAATTCGCGAGGCCCGGGGCAGATTGTCCCTGATGCCCTTTGGGCGGGCCTGCATGTACACGAGGAACAGGAAAGGAAGAGAGCACAACCTTGACGAAGCCACACGATTACCGGGAACGAGTCCAAAGCTCATCCTGTTCGTTTGAACGCAGCTCCCGCAATCACTGTATAAAGATTGAATGACTCGCAGTAATCGACCGTTAGCACCATATTCCTGCAGCATATCCCACGAAGTACTCGGTCGTATGGCTTTTCGAGATCGATAAAGCACATGTGAACCTCTTTGGCATATTCCCAACATCTCGAGAAACTGTTCAGTGAAGACCCGGTCCGTTGTGCTGCTCCCTTCTCGAAATCCACACTTCTCCACTTGAATGGGAAATCCAACGACTGCACGAGCTCGCTTTTCGAGTACCTCGGCATACCTGTTAAGGTATGCTGAGGAGAGAGATTGCACGGTAGTTGGTACACTCCCTCGAATTACCCTTAAAAAGAGGAACCATCGCGCCTGTCAGCCGATCCATCGATGTCGTGCCCGATTCCCATGCGATTCGACAAACCCCATGCAACCAGGAGCACCCATCGGTGCTCTTCGCTTTTTCGGGGTCTCTCTCCAGATTTCGGCCATGCCGGGAGATTTTCCGTTCGTTGAAGCTCGTCGTAGCTACTTCGACTTCCTCCGTGGAGAGGTTATTCTCTGAGTAGGGTATATCCGAGTCCGTCGTGTATTGGTTTAAAACTTTAAGACCTCAGAGTGTGACCACCCTTCCGTCTTCCAAGTATTTCCTTTTCGACAACTGCGACAAACTTTACAATATTTTGCAATTCAGTTCCGACCATTACGCCATCATTGAGATTCTAGTTTGCACCCAATTAGCGGTGTCATCTTGGTGATTGCATTGACTACATATCCCTTTAAGCAGCCCTTCGTGATGTTGGGTTAATGTTTGTACTAGGGTTGGGCTTGATAAGGAAAAATCATGGCAAGAAAAAAGCAAGATCTTGACAAGATGTAGCTATACGGGCAGATTTTCCGGTACCTGACCCGATAGGCCCGCTATAAGTCATGGCCCGCACCCGACCGGAACTCCAACCCAACTTCACGGCCCGACCCAACTTGACAAGAGAAAAAATTAAACGACACGGGTTTCCGTGGTCTCAGACCGGAAGAACGATAAAAGTTAAATGTTAAAATTCGGCCCGACCCGAAGAAGGATCCTGATGAATTCAGACCTAGACGGCTGCGGGTCGGGGGGATCGGGCCGGGCTACGGGTCCTTGCATTGTCTACAACGATGTCATAACAGGTAAAATGAGGGGAGAAAAAAACCTATAAAAAAATTCAAAAGTTTGACCGGGCGTTAAGGGTAGAGGAGATCTTGCCCAGCGTCTTGTTTGAAACTCAACCCTAGTTTGTACTCGCTCTCACTATTGTCACTTTGTTTTCACTGAAGTTTCTCAACATTCTCACCATCCAAATTGATACGACAATTCTGCAGAAGCATTTCCATCATTGCTTTCCTACATACCCAGTGGCGTAGGCAGAAAATCGGCACGGGGGGGGGGGGGGGTTGAGGCCAGGTAGACCAACCCTATGCTTAGCTCCACCACCCGGAATTTACCTTTTTACGAAATCGTGGTCTGGCATCTTGGATCTGTGAATGGACATTGGACTTTCCTTGAAGGGGGGGGGGGGGGGGAGGTCTAACCCCCCATACCCCCCCCCCCCCCCCCCCCCCTTCCCTACGCCACTGTACATACCTGCAGTTGTCAAGTTTTTAAGCAGTAATGTTTCAGCCAAGATCTTTCTATGATCTCCCTGTGATGAATGTGGTATATTTGGTGCCTTTTTTTTTGCAGATGGAAGAGGAAACACAGCAGTTTCACCAGGAGAAATCGGAACGTGTTCGGCTGCTGCACGAGAGGCAGGCAAGGGAACTAGATGACTTCGATTCAGAGTCAACACGATTGGGGTTTTCAGTTCTAGCCATCGCGGAGCAGGGTTTGGACACGTCGAGTCTCCTCAGTGCAGCTGAATATGCCTCGGGGGATGTCTCATCCAGCACGTTCAACTTGGCACATTCACACAGCACCTCGTCTGTCGGACCCACCAGTTTATAGCCCTTTTTGCAATGTGTGGACAGGGGCGAGGAGGAATTTTGTTTCAGGGATTTCCATCGCACTGGCATGTGATGTTCCTCCTCCTCCATTAGGATGTAATTCAAGGGAAAAACATTTTTTCATTTCCTTTTTTGCTCATATTTATCACAGTATCTTCGATGGATTTTTTTTGACATCCTTGCACACTTGTTTTCTATCAAAATGTGATAAGTTCTAGAACCCTTTCACCTCGACTCACACTTTTCTTTTCACAATTTGGTCTGACTTGCATTTTTCCTTTTTAAAACAGTGGGCACTTTCAGTGATGACGCGTTCAGGGAATAGTCGGAAGAACGTTCTCAGTCTGTCTTCCGCTCTTGTGACTTGCTTTCCACTTGCGCATTTAGATACCATTTTGAATGGCTGCCCCCCTCCAACTCTATGTATTTAAAGGACAAAAGGATTTTTGTGCCCTGTAGATGCACTGTATGTGATACGTCCTAAGAGAAACAGCATGGCTTCCCATGAACTATGGTTTTTCCCCTGCCCTCCCTCCCCCCCATGTCATGTCATCCTGCAGAGATGTATATATTGCTATGGAGAAAGAGTGTGATGAGAGCCGTGTCAGGCTCTCTCCAATAAATCAAGGATCCAAATTCAATCTGATTTTTTTTTCTCATATTTTATTTATATGAATGCCACAGTGGATTGAATGCATGAAACGTGAGTGGAATTCTATATTTCATCACAACATTCGTTGAAAGAAGACATCGGCCAGCGAAGCAAGTCTCTTAATGGGCAAACTGGCTACATTGCCCCCATTCCCTGAGATCCATACAACAGAGGTGCATTCCAGGCCACAACAATCATAAGTCAACTACTTCTAACTTGCAACTTTTGCCACAGATGCTTTCTTGGCCAGAGCACAGAGCAATCACCAATAAACCTATAATGCAAAACTGGCATCATGTGATAGAGAAGCATTTTTGCTAGATGCTGGTAACTTCAAATTTTCTGACTCTAAAATTCTTAGGCTTAAGAGTGCAGGCACTCCAAAGTCCAAGGTCATCCACAACCTTGGTGGTAACATGGCTGAGTCAAAATCATCTACCTAGTGTGTACATAAAATTACTCATGCAGGATGCAATGAAGTCAACTGAACTGTGCCAGCAGTCAATGCAATAGCTTAAAACACAGATTCCGCAGAGCGAGAGAGATGTATGGGATATGAAGGGCTGCGGGCTGGTCGCTTCTTTGGCCAGCGTGTCAGGATGCCCAGGAGTTTGGCAAAAGAGGGACGGTCCTCAGCACGAAATGCCCAACATGACATAAGTATGTCCTAGAAGTAAAGAATAAGCATATGATCCCCAGTTAGAAGACCTGTACAACATTCCAGGAGGAATTGAAGGGCTGAAAAAACTATTCAATCTGCAAAAAAAAAGAAAAGATTTTTCTAAGGCCAGAAGGGAAAAGAAAGAATGTTCTAGTGACCCACAATCTTCAACAAAAAAAAACGTGGAATCAAATTTTAAGAAATACTTTTCTGGTATTTTCTGCAGGTAGGCACTGCTCTTCTTTGTCATATCATCATGACAAAGACAAGAACTCTAATGGACACGTTTGTCATCAAACATGTCCATAAGAGTTCCCGAAGAGAGAAGTCTCAGGATGTCCACAAAAACAATTATAGAACATTATTATGAGAAGCCTGTAAAAATAGTTTTCCATGGATTACAGAAGGCCCTGAACTTTTCCTGTTAACCAAAAAGCCACAATTTAGTGCTACCAGAGCATTAAGCAAAGATGGCTCATGAGAAAAATTTTCTCCATATCCAAGAGGCTGACCTTGACATCCTTGGATGCCTGGAGATTTGCCAATGGTTCCTTGATGCCTCGTCCAACCTGCCAGATGATGGCCTCAGGAGGCTGATCACTAAAAGGAAATTCTCCACACAGCAGCTCATACCAGATCGTCCTGAATGGAAACCAGATTAATTATTTAAATAAATATTTATTCTTAAAAACCATTAGTTAACTTTGTTCTAGAGACTGACCCAAATGCAAAGACGTCTGAGGCCTTGCTAAAGGGTAGAAGGTAAGCTGCCACCTCTTTTTCATGGTCAGATTTGGATCCCACGTGAAGACTCCTCATGATTTCAGGGGCCAGGTAGCACAGCCACCCAGATGGGATGCTTAGCATCTCATTGTTTCTAAGAAGAATAATGAGCAGAAATGCACAAACTTTTAAGTCTTATGGTACATCACTATGATTGTATTAACCCCTCAAAATGGTAGTTATTTTCTGCTATAAAAATATGATTGCATTTCCCTATGAGTGGGGACAAGAGCAACCTTTTCTAGACCATATCAACACTTTTCCAATTTTGCCAAAATTGGAAAAGTGGCAAATCTGTGATTAAAAAAGTTGCCAGAAGGGAAGCAGATAATGATGCAAAATATCATGAAACTCTATGAGCTACTTCCCCCTTGTCATGGACACAAGAAAGACACCATACCATCATTCTTTGATAAGGCAACATTCATTTACTACTAGGTCCAGTCAAATGAATATGATTTATTTCTATTAGCTGAGTATGCAGTTTTTTGAAAATACTCTCAATGGGCATTGAGAAACACATTCAACTGCTCAACCATTTTTTTAAATGGCAGTCATAAAACAGTGTATTGGAATATGGTGGCACCATGTTCTTGATGCTTGTACCATGTTATTGTCTGAGTGGTGTTGCTGGTAGGGTAAACACCCCAGCTTTTGGCCATGCTGATACAACTCCCATAGGAAGTGGACACCCTGTGTGCACACTGGGAAACACTAGTAATAGATCCTTGTACAGGAAGATTTTGATAGAATGCTTGAAAATGGCCAGATTAATCATGCTGGATTTAAGCCTCACTGGTCAACAACTGGAGACCGGCCAGAAACAGGGGTGGTTACCCTACCTCAACACCATCTCCCTTGAGGGTCATTCATCAAAATGATGACACCAGGATTTATCTCAAGCCACAGTTCTGCCTGAAAGTTGTCCCCTTCAGCACAGAAGCGCTGCAGATGTGTGAGGCAAAGATCCATGCAGATACTCTTTTGGTCTTCGATCAGACATTCAGTATCCATTTGGCACCCACCAGATGGAACTGGAGATCTTGGATGATCATGTGCACAGACTCACAGCTAATTTCCACTTCTGTAACTATGGCAAGAAACATGCATCTGTTTTAAGTGGTTTCACACCACCTGTACATAAGAACTGTATCACAGCCCTAACAGTTTTGGATACCCCTTTGAAGGAGAGAGTCATCTTTACTAGGGTACTGTGCATGTAATCTTCAAGAAGTGGAATATATTAGGATTTCAGTGCTACACCAGGTGCAAAGTTTTATATATGATGCTATGAAGAAGAATAATTTGTGAAATTTATGGGGTGAGTTTTGCTGTTTTCAGTGACTGACCCTAGTGACACATCTGTGACACATCAGTGGATGATGAAGTTCTCAACTTTATTGCAAACACTTTGCTAGCCATATTGAGACTAAGGTAAGAGATAGTTATTCTTCCCATTGAAAAAAAAAAGAGTTTAAGCTTGAAACTACATTGCACTTCGAAAGTTTGAATTGTTTTTCACACAAGGAATTACCTTTTCCTCCCCACCTTTCTAGTTTCTTAAGAAAACCCTTCATACAATTGACCAGTGCAAGGGCATGGGTCAAGAAGATCTAACAATTCCTAAGAATTTGGTGGCAATCCCCATGCCCTCCTTAAACCCACTTGAACAGACTGTATGTCATCCATAGGACCTAATCCCCTCATTGAGACCTAGTTGTCCACCACAACCTACATCTTCATGGATCTCCTCAGAATCTGATGAAATAACCAATTTTATGACCACCATTAAAACACATTCCTACTATCTCATCTTGATTGACAAGTGATGAATTTGGCCCTCTCAAATAAGGGATGCCAGTCAAGATGAGAATTCTGATGTCAAAAGTGAGCTATTTTAGTCTAGGGGATGAAAACCAAAACATGTAGTGAAGAAGCATTCTCACCTTCCACCATAGCTGAGCTTGGCAACAGAGAAGAGGCCAAAGTCAGCAATGATGACACGCCCATTTTCCAAGAAGATATTCTTGGTTTTGAGATCCTTGTGAACGATACCCCGAGCATGGAGGTATCCCACACCTTGTGATATCTGCTGGGCAATGATTACCGTCTTGTTCATATTGAAGCGGGACCTCAGGCTATGCACGTGAGTGAACAAAGTGCTTCCCTTGCACAAACTTGTCACAATTGCCAGGTGTGGTGGCTTCATGCATGCACCCATGAAGAGAATCAGGTTGTCATGCCGAGTCTTGCGAAATGTTGACACCTGACAAAATAATAGATTCCTGTGAAAAATCTGAGACCTACGTGGGCTGGTCAAAGAGTTCTCGGAAAAAGTTACTTCTTTTTGTCAGATCCCCATGATTTTTTCACTGTGTATTCTTATGTATCTTAGTAGTTCTTCCCTTTAATTTTGGATCCCTGTGATAAAATGGAGACTCACAAGTGTATGCAAAGTGAAACAAGTCAGAGGGTCTTGCTACCCTTGACGATTCGTTACAAGTGTGGGGCAATTTTGGTGCAGGTTCGGCCCAGAGGTGAATAATCAGAGGATACAATGGGAAGTAGAAGTAGATCCAGGTTTCACCACCTGTGAGAATGTTTCCCACAGCTTCAGAGGCTCCACCGTCGAATTTCTGAAGCATGAATTCACAGAAGTCCACACGAGCTTTCATGTGATCCGGTTTCAGCTGGTGCGGAACCCAACGAGCACAGACCTTCCTCATCCCAAGGTGTTCGTGCTGGATCTTGATGACCGAGCCATGCGACACCCCAACAAGCTTCTCTAGTTCCATGGTGGTGATCTGCCGGTCTTTGCCAGCATGAAGCGACTCCTAGACAATGTTTTCCGGAGTGACAGTGAAATTTGGACCACCTTCACGGGGATCGTCATCGAGGCTGAAGGAGCCAGATCGAAAGCGCAAAAACCACTCATAGACAGTGCTCTGGGATGGAGCTTAGTCCGTAAGTGCCTTTTGAAGGGTTTCGAAACACTGTGCCGCCCAATTTCCTAACCGAAACAGCACCAAAATTGCCCAGCATTTGTCACGGCTCGTCAAGGGCGGCAAGACCCTCTGACTCGTTTCACTTCGCGCGCGCTTGCGAGTCTCCATTTTAATGCAAGGATCTGAAATTAAAATGGAGAACTACTAAGATACATCAGGATACGCAGTGAAAAAATCATGGGGATTTGGCAATAAGAAGTCACTTTTTCCGGGAACTCTTTGACCAGCCACGTACTTACGTCGACATCAATTCAGCCCAACTCCCTAAGGGTACAATTTTCCTCTCTGAGGTTACTAAGCCAATTTCTGAGGCAAAATATGGCCTCATTCCAACTAATAGATAAATGTTGTATTCAAACAGAGGCAATATGAGTTTTGAAGGATGCATCAGCCAGTTGAATCAGAATACAGATGGCAAATGATGTCAGCAACTTTGTCTAGGACATACCTGCCTGCCTGACACATTAGTGAGGAGCATCTCATCTTCCTTCCATATTCTAGGAACATCTAGTTCCTCCTTCAACTTTTACTAACTACCAGTCATGTAAAGTTAAAATTAACACTCTTGCATCATTCCCAATATATTAATGAGCTCAGGAAGAGTCTGTCCCCAGGAAATAAGCCAGTATGGTACATGAACATTTTTGAGCTACCATGATCTTGAAAGCATTCATGTCTTCTTTGAGGCTCAACATCAAAGACATCTGAAGAGCTACAACAGAAGCTCACTCCAAGAAGAGAGACAGTGAGAAATATTCAGATGTGAAAGGATTAATGAAGAAAATACGTGTGCAAATGGTAACCATATGGCTCACCCCCTTAACATGAATGCCAACCAAATGAATGCCAATTAAAAGCACCAATGAAGTAGCTTCATTAAAAAATACTCAACTGTTTCTTCCTATTCATATTTACAGTAATATTTTTTTTAAGCACATAGACAAGGCTGATTTTTTCAGAAAATGTTAATTTCAATAGGGATTATTAAAGACTCTTGTATATATCAGGGTGATTATGTGCATGGAGACATGCTAGAAATATGGTACCTTACATCTTAATCTTGAAGAAATGTATCATATGGCAGCCAAATTTTCACAAGTTTCACAAGGTGTACTATAATATTTGGCTGAAGCATAATTAATCTGATATTGATGAATTTCATATCTAGTATGATATGGAACATATTTTACCTATCATATAAAACATGTATTGATCCATAAAATTTAATATATATAAATTTTCATAGAACAAGTGAATTAACCGACAATGAATACTTTCTTGTTAGAATGATCCCTTACTTCTCCTTTAAATGCCTCAAGGATCTTCTGCCGATCATCAACACTGTCCATGTCAAGAAGCTTGATGGCAATATCCCCATGCCACTGGCCCTTGTACACTGTCCCAAAACGCCCCCTGCCAATTGGCTCCTGGATGAGTAGCTCTGAGAATGGAATGTCCCATTCCCGCAAGCTTAGCTGGAATAAGAAAAAATTTGATCTCAAGATCTGAGGAAGCACATGTGCCACTAAAAACCCAAGTAGATAATACTGCTGGTTTTTTATTACTTGCACACAGCACAGGCCAACAGGACTGATTTAAAAGAAGTTAAGACTAGCTGTGCAAAGCTACTACTGAGGCAAGCCTCATCAGGATGCTATGTGAAATGTACAGGTGAAATGATGGCTGATGGGCAAAAGAGGAAGAACATTGAATAGGATGTCTTGAGAGGGTGCACAAGGAGATGGTTTGATGGTTGGATGAGGGAAGCTGTATCCATTTTCCTATATGAGTTTAGGAAGTTTTACTCTTTCACTGTTCTGCAAGAAAATGCCCTCCACCTTGTGTAGTGGCAGACCAAGTGGAGGTCTACTACTACACGAGCAGCACACACAATCTGAGTATGCACTCAGGCTAACAGGGAAAGAGTTGAGTATAAGTCAAGGATGATTTAGCTATTGCATGGAATGTATTTGAAAGGAAATATCATAGATGCCAATTTACCATATTTTCAGAGATAGTTGTAATTAGGTTCACCTTGTAAGAACAAATGCCAAAGGAAAAGGTGCTTATGATGCCCTAAGCCAAAATCAAACACAGAAGAGCATTCTTACTATCTAGGCTTATCCCACTCTAGATAAAATTAGGCCAAAAGTTTTTTGATAAGGTAAATATCTAACCTACTCAGGCTACTTACAGGCTGCAATCTGTTTTTCATTATCAGTTACAATAGGCAAAGCATGAAGGAGTAATTTTCTACCACTCATAAAAAAGCTTTGAGCTGACAAATAGATAATAAAAAAAAGCACAAAACATATGGGAGATGTCATGAGGAGCTCTTCTTCTCACAAGGACACTTTTTAACATTTCATGAATTTGAAAACAAAAGGTTGGGGAAGAAGAGGGAGCCTTACACTGTTCTGTCGAGGCCATCGCTCATAATCCCCAGTCTCTGAAGCTTGGCTGTCTTGGCTGTCAAGACGCATGGCAAGTGTTCGCTCAGAATCAGTTGACCCAGATCCACTAGTTATGGAAACAGTGCGGTCACTGTCCCCAGACTTCACAGTGTCTGTTAGGGTGTCCACCATGGATGGGTTGGAAGAGACCATAGAGTATCCTATGCTTCCTGTGCTCATCTTTACCTCATGCAGAGGGTGCGTATTCAGAGTAATTAAGTCTGGACCCTCTGCACCAGGTGATGATGCTGGCTCTGCAGGTTCAAGAAATGAAGAAAAAAAATGATAAGCAAGACTTGAAAAATCAATACTGCTTTACAAATATAATGTTAATGCAATTTAGAAATGGTCACTTTGCATGTCTGGCACAACATGCGTCTTATCCATTTCATCTACTTCAAAGCACTCTTGATCAACCAGAACCCAGGAAATAGACACACCATTGCATTTACTCTTTCAGGCCATAATTTGTAATTTTGTAGGAGTTCATCAATTTCCTTTGCTTTTCTTTGTCAACAAATTGAATTAAAGTCTTCATTGACAAGAGGGAATAGGTAACTGATGCAATCCAGACCAGAAAACAGTAAAGCCTACCAGGAAAGAGGAAATGCTGATGCCGAGAAGTTATGGGTGGTGTGGTAGTTGTGATGACAAGAGCAGGGCTTGATGGAGTAGAACTGTTGCAGCTTGATGGGGTTGAGTTGGAGTCAGCAGCATGAAAAGCACTGGTATTGAGACCAGCCCCTTTCCAACGATTTAGCAAGGTTAAGGGTGCAGATGAGGGTCCATGGTGTGGAGAGGCCCAGCTTCGACCAATGACTGGAGAGCCTGCCACATGAAAACAAAAAATGGATCATTTCTTCCATTCATCTCCCTAACAAATGCAAAGGCATAAAAAATTGCTAATATTCACTCCCATCTTTCTCTCCTATAATCTCATTTTGTACTCTGGAGTAACTACAACATTGGATATTCTATAAATGTTTCTTTCCAACTAGATACAAAAAAGAAAAAATTTTTAAATAGATTTATCCCACATTTAAGTGGACTATCTCACAATCCAGTACTGTCTCATTTGACACTAATTTAACTGGATCCCAAAATGTTCTACCACAGGGTGCAATATCCATGCTGATAATAATCCAATATGCTGGAATGTAAAAACAAAAAATTAGGCCACAATAAGAGATGAGTTCCAGCACTAACCAGTGATAGACTGGGTGAAGATGTTGAGGTATTCCTGGGGAAGTCCACAGGAAGGAGGGACATGGGACTCACAGTCTCGATGACATTTGTACTTGCACTCCTTGCACTTCACCCCTAGAAAAGTGGGTCATTTACATTCCTGTTTATGGACAAAAAGGCAAGTAAGAGACTGCACCTACCATAGAACATCTGCTTGTTACAGTAATCACAAGTTGTGACTTTGACAGTCTTGCTAAAGCGATGCTGAATCACATGACTCATGGAGCCAGGCAATGTTGGAGTTCTTGGAGACTTCATGCTGGCACCTAAAAAAAGGGTAAATATGTGAAATAATGATGATACTACAATGCAGATGAGTATAATTGAAGCTCAGCTTACACTTAGATGTGGAATCAGAGTCGGAATCAGATGCAAATGGAGGTGACCGAACAGGAGAGGACAAGAGAGAGGAAAGGCTACAAGGATCCAGACAATCAATCGCTGAGTCTGTTGGGAGACGCCTTCGCCTGGTAGAAATCACCTCAATTGTATTCAAAATTCAAGCACTTATAAAATACTGGGTGCAAAGGAAAAAAAAGCACCACTGTCAAAACTCATACAGCAGGAACATGATCATTCCTACAATTATGTATGTTCCAGGATGCAGGCACTATGTCTTGCCATTCCTATAATGACTTTTCAAAATTATTCCATCCAGAATAGCTAAAGAAGTATTTTGTAAGATGTGAGTTAATATTTCTGAAAACCTGTTGTAAGCCTCATGCTGAATAAGGGCAGCCATTATGCTCGATCGTTTTCACTTTAATTTGTCTATCACATTAGTTGTGATCATGCAGTTGTTGAGATCAAAGTGTGTTTTTGACAAAAAGTGTGATTCTTCAATGAAATCCACAGCTGAATGCTGTTATTAATACATAAAGACTGTCCCTTAGTTCATCCATTCCAGTGAGCCTCATAGGATGAGCAGGGATTCCCAGAAATTTTAATTGCAAATATAAAAGTGCTTGTAAAGCTAAACCAGCAAAAGGAAAATTATAAGAAATATTAAAAAATTGAGAAGATGGTACATTAGTGAACACTGCAGTAGATTTCACCATTTTTCAGATATAAACATTCAAAGGCACATATTTTTTTTCTCTGCACCCAGTATAAATAGAAAAGAGAAAAAACCCACCTGGCTGAACTAGTATCAATATCCACTTTGTTCCCCAACTGACTCTCATGAGACTTAGATTTGATGAGTGGAAAGCCTTCAGCATTATATCCAGCACTGGCACTACCGGCTTGACTGGGACAGCTGGTAGTAATGCTACCAACATTTCCAACGGTGGTGATGCTTTCATTGTTGGGCTGTAGGAGCCCTGTCTGATGCTTTCGTCGAGCTGACGGTGTTCCTTGTCCACTGCTGACTCCTATCACAGCACAAATAAGTCCATGTTAGACAACTGTGACAAAGTATCCACATGGAAAGACATAAATAAAGTTTTGGAAACCTTTTGATCTTTTCATAGCTGATGAGGGAGTGCCAGGGGGGCTGCCATGATGAGACCCAACTGAATGACTAGGTGAACTCACTTCTATTGTGAGGAAACAGAGTAAACAAAACATCAAGTAGATAATAAACACAATAAATCTAGCATGAGGTCGTCATGTTCTTACCAGATACCGGTAGGCTTGAATCTGCATTATGTGCAGGGGGTTGCTTTGTACGCCTTTTTCCACTTCTATACCCAATTGGGAGAGAGTGGCTGAGTGGAGAAGTACGATCCCAGGAATCCCAGTACAGAGGGAAGTCTCCACCTCCACTTGGATCACCAAGAAACAAGATCTCTGAAAACAAAGAAGACCTCAGTTACACATAAGCAAAAAATATGAAGTTACTAGAGCCAAAAGGAAGGTAGTATTACCAGTGTATCTTTTGAGATTGTGAACAGCGCTCTGAAGACGACGAACTTCTTCATCGCTAGCCTGATAGTCATACAAAATAGATCGAATTTCACTGTCAGTCTTGGAGAGCAAGGTTTCTAACTTCCCCACACGGCTGTAGAGGCCCTGTGAATCAGAGAAGAACATTTCAGGGATTCACTGACAAGAAAGAAAAGTCCCTTAGATCCCATGCATTGATGCTACAGTATTTTTTTTTCAACTGGGTTCAATATTTTTCACTCTTCACATTTTTCCCACTAAGTCCAAACTAAGCTTCTTCCAATCAATGCCTTAAAAAATTGATTTGAGACAAATGAAAAGCTGCCAAACAAACAAAAATGAAATTCACAAAGGAAAAACATTGTAGACTAAGATGAGGGCTTGCCTGAATACAGAGACTGGACAACCCAACCACATGGAGCCACTGCTTCAGAAAAGGACACCCATCCAGTCCCTTTGGAAACTCCACACCACTGTGCCGCCTTTTCAGCACCAACTGATGACTAAAGAGCTTGACCAGCTTCCCCTGAAAGCCACAATAACCTTGCATTCTAATTATGGTAAATTAATCTTTGGTAGTATATAAGGACCACCAGATTTGTAAATTGAGGACTTCTGTAATGAAATGGAAATAGTTCTGTAGGAGCAAGTGAACCATGTTAGGAAAGGTGAGTGAATTTAAATTACAGACTTCAAGGTACAGTTTGGGTAATCAAGGAAAGCTGATAAATTCTACCTGATGTTATCAAATGAAGGGCTTCATCAAATACTGAAAACAAACAACATACCAAAATCTTCATCAATGCATCATTAACTTCCCATGTGAAAATTCCATGTATGACAGGGTGTATGACTCTATGTGGTCATATATGATAATATATTTGCTATATACCAGCATATATGTATTCATATATTAACAATTGTATGGTGTATCATATTTTACCTGCATTGCAGTATTAAGTGTGATGGGCAAATGGCATCATGTCTGATATGTGATGAATATCCAAAGACAAGTCTTATGGTTGTAAGTAAAACATGGCATGAGGTCAGTGGTGCATTTTGGCTGAGTCAGGGGGGACAGGGCAGCAAAGTGGGGGCACCAAGCCCTGTCCCAGGAATGCCAGGGGGGCAGCCACACCCCCTTGCCCCCTCCCTGGAAAATATGCCACTGCATGAGGTTGTTACACAAGGGCAATTGACCTTCAGATGCCTATGTAACTAATTTTTAATGCACCATTATATTTTACATGAAGTATTAGCTATTAGCTATTACCTTTAAAGTAATTTGCCAAAAGTTTGATTTTGAACCCCTGCAGCTTAAAATCCTAGTTGGAAACAGCTATAATTTCCAGCTGGACCCCAGTTGGAAATTCAGATCCATTACTTTCCCATACTTTCCAGCTGGGTAGCAGCTGGAAAGTAAAGTCAGATCCAGATTGTTCCTAATTGCAATACATTGGCGGAACGAGAATGTTTTTGTTGGCTATTCTTGCTGGAGGTCCATCTATAGAAGCTGAATTTCAACTGTAAATTCAGTTGTATTCCAACTGAAGGGTCCTCTGAATAAAATTCTAATGGTAAATTTCCAGCTGTAAAACAACCTGTAATTACCATTTTTCAGCTCTTTGCCAGCTGGAAATGGTCAGAATATACAGCTTCTGAAACATATGAACCCTTTGTTAATGATGGTGAAAGTTTCAATATTATAGACTTTAACCTCCAAAAGTATTTTCATCAGTAATGCTATTTCATGACAAAACTTGGCTATTCTTGCTGGAGGTCCATCTATAGAAACAACTGAATTTCAACTGTAAATTCAGCTGTATTCCAATGGAAGGGTCCTCTGAATAAAATTCTAACGGTAAATTTCCAGTTGCAAAACAACCTGTAATTACCATTTTTCAGCTCTTTGCCAGCTGGAAATGGTCAGAATATACAGCTTCTGTCCACCTGGAAAATTCCAGTCAGGGTTTCAAACTGGGCCCTACCCTCTCTAGGTAGCATAAGTGTATCACGGATGAAAAAAGTGCAGGAGGAGGGGGGGGGGGCACAAGAACTCTGGGATACTGTTATCATGCATCTTTTTCTTTGTATGCATTTTTTGTTGATTTTGTTGGGGGGCACATGTCGTGCCATGCCTTCATTGAACAATTCCTTCATTGGATTATTTCAGGAAGAAATAGGCTTTTTCCCCATCTATCTTGTGAGTTGTCAGTCAAGATGAAGAAGACACTCCTACATGAATAAGCCAAGTTTTGTCATGAAATAGCATTACTGATGAAAATACTTTTGGAGGTTAAAGTCTATAATATTGAAACTTTCACCATCATTAACAAAGGGTTCATATGTTGAACACCATGAAACATGAGTTCTTGGAGTAATTGACTGTGGTCTATGAACAATTAAAAATGAGTTGATTGCAAGTAAGGTATGGTGACTTGCATATGATCATACAGTATCTGATGGATTATGGACCCTTTTTGAATACAGGCATGTTTCATACAATACCATACCATACCATACATAGATATGACATGGCATATATGGACAGTATATGGTGCATTTGTATGAGCCAATATATGAAAATGTATGTGGTCATATTTTCCTTCTTATATGATTTCATGTGACTTGTGTCAAACCCCATACATGTTTCATATATGTTCATATATGAATTGTGCTATATGGTCATATATGCCCCATATATGTTGGACTGGCTTAATATATGGCCATTTCATATATGGTCTTATATGAAATTTTCATGTGATAACTGGATTGGACCTTTGTCTAAGAATTTGTGTTCATGGCCAAGTTTAATTTTGAAAATTAAAAAGTAATTCTGTTGGGTTCAAAAGGGTTAGCATGTATCTAGCATAAAACATTTCCTATTGTCCAATTGTTCAACTGTTCATAAAAGAGGTAAAGAACAGCTGAATGCAGGTGAATGGGTTAATGCTGATTGATTTGATTCCTAAAACTTGTTTAACCAAACATATCTTTAACCTCTTTAAATATGTCAGAGTTGTGTGAAACTTCTGAAGCTCATTTCAAGTGTGCAGGCTATAAAATTTTCCTCTAAGTAATGATGTTTCATATCATGAAACATATCAGGTTGGCCTAAAGAAATCCCAATTGTATCTTTGAATCCATCAACATTTCAAGATATGTTCTATGGGAGATGCTCATCCCATGAATTTGGAAGCAAAGTGAAGTGTCTGGCATTAAGATATTTTTTCATTTGGCCACTAGATATAGACATGATGCATCAGGTATCTGTCGAAGCTCCTGGTCTACACCTGCTTTCCCCCCTCTAATTTTGAGACTTGGGAATTCACTAGATATTCCTTGTTATAGGTGATACATAATATGTATAATATGGGGTAATTTCTCTTTTGGGAAGTTATATCTGAAAAAGTTCTTGGCCTAAGTAGAAAGGGGATAGGCAAGGGGAGTGCCATTTATATACGTTGTAGCTTAACATCTTGTGATTATGTGTACGCAGTTTCATGACAATACTCTCCGGTTTATTTTAAAAAAAATATTAATGCGAGCGCTCGTGCATAGCTGTCAGTCAACATGGAGAAATTTGAGCACTGGGCTGTGATTCAATACCTTTTTCTGAAGGGCTTAAGCACAAAAGACATCCATGCGGATGGGCAACAGACGGGAAATTGTGGGAAAAAGTGAATATAAAACTTCAAATATGGAAGAGAGAGTTTGGAATACAAACCCTGTAGTGGATGTCCTGTCTCAGTCACAACAGGGGAAAAAAATGAAAGCTCTGCATATCATCATGGGCAATTATCGGATAACCACACGAGTCATAGCACAAACATAAATTTTTTTTTTTTTGCCCATGATGATATTGTACACAGCTTTAATGTTTTCCCCTGTTGTGGCTGAGACAGGATGCCCACTGCATGGTTTGTATTCCAAGCTCTCCTTTCTGCATTTTAAATTTGCTACCCACTTTTTTGCAGTCAAATAACTTGGTGCATCATTTCCCAATGTGCTGCTGCATATACGCATGGATGTCTTTTGCACGTGGCATCAAAGTTTTTTTTTACCATTGTGATGTATTGGCAAAATTTTTGAAAGGAAGATATCCCATTAGATTGAGACGAGTACAGTAAAATCCGTCCAGTTGGGAAAAGGAAGAGGCATTTTGTAATATTGCATTATTCTCAATAGTTCTGGTTTTTTAATGAAGTTAATGTTATTCTGCTGAAACCATATATTTGTTTTTCCTTTCTCATGCCAACTTACCTGAAATGACAGTCAGTTTCTGATTAAATGGAACCAGTGGAGGGGGGAGGGAGGGGGATACAGGGGTGCAACTTAATACCTGAATGAAAAAAGGGGGCAGGAACTAAAAAGTTTGCATACCGCTGTGCTAGAGTTCTCATGCCCCCCCCCCCCCCACTTTTTACATGCTTGATATACTTTTGCTACCTAGGGAGGGGTTTGAAATAAATATTTTGGGAAGTTACTTTAAAGGTCATACATAGCTAATATTTTTCATGTACAATGTATGGGTGAAGTAAATATTAGTTGCAGAGGCACCAGAAGGTCATGGCCCTCATTTAACTACCTCTTGCAGTAGGGTCATTCCATGCCAATTCGACCAGAGCATAAGCTCGACCAGCACTGAATTAGACTAAATTCGGCATACCTGTAGCAAAATCGATTTAAGGGATCCAATTTCAACCAATATTTTTTATCTCCTATTGATCTCCAGATATGAGCATTTGACTGACTCCAATTTTTGGCTCCCTGCACCCATCTGTACCTGACTTGAAAGAATGTTTCTGCTATAACTTCCTTTCCAATTAAGATAGAAACCTCATTCTGGTGCCATTTTAATTGTGAAATAGTCATCTTTGAATTGATTATAGACTTTATCCTTCAAAGCTAAAAGGAGAAGTTCCACTTGACCGAACAGTTTGATCAAATTCAGTATTGAAAAGCAACACTTGCCACCTGTGGAATCATTCATTTCAATATTTTATTCAAAAGCGCATGTAATGCCCTTTCTAATGTTACCAAATTCAAGATTGGCACTCAATGGATTATTGAGATATGGCTATTTGACTGATGCAACAGTACCAATATTTCCCTTGACGGAACAGAATGGACAGAATATCACTTCGGTGGGGTTTGAGGGCCCCCCCTGGCCCATTGACCTCATGCTGTGTTCACTAACAACCATAAGACTTGGCTGTGGATATTCACCACATGTCAAACATGATGCCATTAGCCCATAACTTTGATATTGTAATACAGATAATATATATTATATGCCATATAATTGATAATATATGAATACATATATTGTGGTATATGGCAAATATATGATCATACATGGCCATATAGAATTATACACCTTAATTATTATATACAGTATGTGGAATTTTCACATGGGTACTTAGGTTAAGAACTTTTCAGCCACCCCTCATATATACTGTATAAAGAGCAAAGTTTGAACTTTTGTCTCTTTGAAATATAATTGAGGTGGAAAATTAAAAAAAAATTGTTGGGGCAGGATTTTTATTC